ACTTCGTGGATATAACGCTGCGCGTTCATGTTACCTCTGATTAAGATTAAAGGTGACCTGGAACCATAAGCTATAGCACCCCAAACCATAACTCCAACAGTGTGATGAACATGTCTTTCAACAAAAAACTGTGGATTCCTCCTTTCACAACGTCGCCTTCTAACCCTGGCACGACCATCGTGCATCCCTAAACAAAATCGAGACTCGTCACTAAAGACAATAATGTTCCATTCCTGATCCCAGAGTGACCGTTGTCTGCCCCACTCAAGGCGATTACGTCGGTGTTCTCGAGTTAAAGAGAGGACCCAGTGTGGCCGGTATGAAAACAAGCCAAAACTTCTCATTCGTCGGTAAACACTTCGCATGCCAATAGGTCTTCCGTGTTCTGCAAACCATTCATTTGTAATGGACCTGGTAGTGGAGAAACGGTCCCTTAAGGCCAATAATCTTAGGCGGCGATCTTCACGGTCTGTTGTTCTACGGCGGCGTCCAGTGCCCCTTGCTCTTTGCGTACGGCCTTCTCGAAGCCATGCCTGACAACACCTAACCACAGTGTCTACACTTCTTTGCACTCTAACTGCAATTGCCCGAAAAGAAAGTCCAGCTTCCCGAAGTCCCACTATACGGCCCGTATCAAACTCACTAAGTCGACGAAATCATACAGGTCCCCGTACTCTAGCCATCGTAACCGATCGTAAAGGATGTCAAGAACCAAAATCCGCCAACGTTGATTCTTTACTGCGGCTGAAATATTCATTTTTAGAGCGTTAGTGAAATAAAAAATAGCAGTATAAAAACCGGAATGTCCAACCGATAAGGCTAAAAATTTGTTCACTTGTTATTTACAGTAAGATAAATACATTCACGAACTTTTATTAAAATAAAACCATTTAAACTGGCTGTTCGGATTTATATGTCACTTAGTATAATTAATGATTCTTGGTTTAGGATTCTGCATAACCTTACTGTTGTCACTTTTGCAAAATGCGATTCAAAAGCGCTTCGAAGCTTTCCAGTTTATATCCAAAATTACGTATTTCTTCAATAACTTGATATCAAAAAATCCTATGCCTTGTTGAAAATTGTTATCGTCGTTTCTATACGTCTACATTAGGTATTATTCTGCAGCGGCAGTATAAATCTGCTGAAAGTCGTTGCACCCCTTCAAGCCACAAACTAACAAGAATTCAGACAAAGTCATAAAATGTTATTTAAGGACACTCACGCGGTGACTCTTTATCTACCTCCGGAATTACGAGCTCACATATAAGACGGCCGCAGTTCTGAATTACTGGAACGAGAATATCATAAACTACATCAATAAACAACGCGACTTCATTTTTACGAGTATGAAGCTCTTCATTGCGAGTTATTCCACGGAAGCTTAAGCTGGTAATACGAAGACATACGTATCATATAGTCATAGACTCAGAAGTATATCTACCCCTTTATTTTTTAGGTATTTAATTAGCTTTTTAATTCAGTTAGTACAGATACTAATACAAAGTCTCTGAAAAACATAACATACGAAAGCATGTAACTAACCCAACCCAACGTGAACGCTTTAACAAACCATCTGTGCCCCTAATAGGACCCGGCACGCCCCCACAGTCCCCCAAGGGTCCGGCAATGTCCACAGCCTCGTCTTCGGGGAGTCCCTCAGGGTCCATAACGACAGCGCCTGCTCCTAGGACCAACGCACTCAATTTGGGTCAGGCTTTGTTGCAAGGTGTCCAAGGTTAGGTTTTAGGCATTGGGTGCTGTTATCTGGAGTTATTAACCTGTTTTCGGTGGCTTGGAAAATTACTAATACAGTCTGGGGTGATTCGACTGAAGATTCTTTTGTGGTTTGTCATTTTTTTAACAGCAAATGTACAGGTTATCGTAGAATACGTGGAAGCATCTCATCTAATCAAAACGGACTCATGTTTACATATTTCCAGATTCTTATGTACTGAACCTGACAAAATCCTATAACGAGGTTTTCTGAAAATTGCGAAAAAGTGTATTTTAATACCCGAATAAATATGCATACGAGTTCAACTTCGTTCTGTAGAATAAACGATTCAGACCTACTCGGAATTATGTTTCAGCATGTTTGGTCTATTGATTTCAGATGTACCATAGGCATAGGAAAATATTTTTTCTAGGGTATCTGTTTTTGGGTGTATAATAGTGTTTTTTTTATTGTGCTTGCATGGCCTGCTTTTGCATGGTGTACAGATACGAAGGAATGTTGGCGCGAAGTGGAGAAATGGGTAGAGGCAGCTGTAGGATATAACATGTTGCCAGAAAAAGAACCAGGTTCGTTTTTCTTTTTATGTTTTTCACTCTACTTATTGCACTGCACATAAATAGTTTCGATTTCCATCCAATGCGTCAAAAGGTTCAGCTTCCGAAATTTGCCTTTTTCTAAACTTCAAAATTTGCATACAAGATGAAAATTTACGAAACGCTTTTTGCCCGAATTTATTTGACACAACAAAGCTCCTTCCACAAATAGTTGAGGAAAAATTGTAGCTGAATTTCTATTTTGGTGAAAATATGAATATCGCGATATTCGAGTTTATATTCTCTCTCTCCATTTTACATAGAAAACACTGTGGCTTACCAGCGTCTTGATTCTTGCGAACTCGAGTTAGAAGACGGTAAGAATCAGAAAAATAAATTCGTAAGCTCTCAGCAGCGCCTCTCCAATCTACGCTAAAAAAAGGCGTTGAAACTGCCACATATACTGTAGCTAACTGTTACTTGTTTGTTGTTTCTGCTAACGCAAAACTAGGAGAATGCTATGATGACTGGAATATTGGTAGAACGATAAAAACGATACAAGGTACACATACTGAGTGGCGCATCGAAAACGAAACAGACGCATTTACTGGCCGCTCAGTTTTTTTGGAAAAACGTCGATTTTGTTCGGCAAAAAATCACGTTAACACGTGCAGACCTTTAAAATAAGGTATCGCTCGACCCCCCTTTCCATTTAAAATTTTAGGGTTGGTGTCACCCCCGCCCAGGGAGCTGCGTGTGTTAACGTGATTTTTTGCCAAACTTGTGTACCCCTCGAAAACAAAAAACTGAGCTGCCAATAAATGCGTCTGTTTCGTTTTCGATGTGCCACCCTGTATACATACATGTATGTCAAATCAGTGCAGCTTAAGGACCCACGATTGATCTGTTGAGAGTTTTGTTTGCTATCTTAAGTTTGAGGTGATTATCAATCAAAAGTTTACAACTACCTGTTGATTCTGTTAGCTTCAATATTCTATGTTAACTATCATAGCATTCTGTCTTGCTGTTACTATACAGTTGTTTAGGAACTTACCTTCACCAGAATTTGTTAGTAGCTGTAATAAAATAGTGAACACGCTAAATGAGTAGATTTTAGCATCTCTGTTCTAGATCTAAAGTTTGCTTATACAAGTTGATACATACTCTTGTAAATATCTAATATCATGCATCGAAATCTGTTTTTGGCTTTTTTAATCAGTATTTCAATGACCCAGATGGCAAGCAATTAGTAAAAGCAGGTAAATTCCCAACAACCCTGTTCAGCTAAATTGATAAAAGACAGATTGTTTTCTGATATCTAATTACTGATTTTTCAGCTGCCAAAAAAGCAATCCAACATAGATTTTCACCAATAAAAAGGAAGTTTAAGCACTAAGTGTAAGATACAGATATGTTGTGATGTTAGTTCACGTACACACTTGATTACTAACAGCATTATGTTCCATGTTTTAATGTTCTCTGCATCATAGTGATACGTAACAATGTCAGTTCTAGAAATGCTACATTTTTTATTCTCCTTGATATCAACCAGCTGCTAAAACTGACACGTGTTCAGCATCGTATTTTGCCTTGAAGTAATCCTTCCTTAGGCACGGCGCTGATTTAAATCTTTCAAATATATTTGAAATGAGGTAATTTGAATGTCGGACTCTTAACAAGTTTCATCTAACAGTAATATTCCAATTCAACTGCTGCTAAAAATAGTCCGCTGAAAAGCTCATTTCAATTGAGATTAATATAGGAAAAATGTTTCGTGTGCTTCAGAAAACTTCATTAACTCTGATTGGTTCCAGATGTCTTAATTTCGAGAAATATAATTGTGTTGGAATTATGCTTAAAAGATCTGTAAAATGGATATCAACTTTCCATAATATATACAGATGCTTGTCTTGCTTTTGAATGATTTCCTCACAAGAAATAGCTTGATGGTAATTCCACGTGAGCTTAAGATTGGTATAAAACAATTGGTTTCGGAGCCGTGCAAAAACAATCTGTCTGTTTCTTCGTCTACCAAAATAGCCTGCATGCGATTTTGCGATTTTTGCCTAACTAACAAAACGCTTGTTTGGAATTTGTAGAGATACGGATTGTGTGTCCTGACAAGCAGTACACATCCACAAATTCTCAAGGTTCAGGTATGGCCATACATTTTTCTTAGGTCTGTCTGTTTGTCTGTCAACCGCAAACGCAATCGCACATTGTAAGACGCGCCCAGAACTGCAGAAAATACGCCTCGTACGAAAACGTTCTTTGGATTTTGGGAATGGAAAATGAACACATACAGAGTCAAAACAACACGGAGAATGAGAACAATAACATTTCCAAAATTCAAAAACGGTTTCTAGTGAGAGTTTTATTTTGTAGATGCGTTTGTAGATTTAATGGATGAAATCTTTACATGTCTGTAGACAAAAGTTGACAAATATGTCAAAGACATTGTAAAAACAGCTCTAGGCTTTGTAGTGTACACGGCTCTAAGGCTCTATGATTTGTAAATAATTGCTGTAATGTTACGTATGACACTTTGACACATATTCGAAATATAATTTTATTCTTCTGTCTGCATGGTTCTAAAAAGTATAAACCAGTGGTACTTAGCTTACCTCAGTAATTAGTTCCTTCCCCTGTAGCCGTGTTGTTGTTGTGTGAAACCGTGTTTTTGATATTTTTCTGTGTTCGAAAAAGCTAATATTTTGCTTGTTCTACAGCTAAACGACAAGAGATCATCAAGATGACTGAGCAACTGATAGAGGCGATCAACACTGGAGATTTTGAGGCTTATACGTAAGTAACCAGTAACAACCACCTGCTGAAATTTCAGATACTGTCATCAAATAAATGGTGAAGTGTCACAATACGACAGTACAATAGGAAAATAGACTGACCCATTGACTCGAAAACTGACATTAGATATGTGATCGACGCTCTCAATTCGGGCTTTCGTCGAGATTGCAAATATACAAGGATTTTTTCAGCAGTTCAGTACCTTAGATTGAATCATTATTGGATAAAATAGCCCATGTACGTACGTCTTTAGTCCACTCAGTCGAAAACATTATTGCTGTTGCCCCGAATGTGCATGAACATCAACTTGTCCCAGAAACTGGCTATTTCAGTGACTTGCCTGAGGAGGCTTTTGCACGAGGACTCCGTTATGAAGGTTTACAAAGTTCAATTGGTCCAAAAATTGAAGCCTCGTGATCATCCGACGCGTGTTTTGGTTCGCCCACTGGGCTAAAAATCGCTTCGACTATCTAAATATACCAAACTGCATCATCCACAAGTCGTCGCAGAGAGACCAATGCATTTGTCGTAGCGAGATCGTAGAATTATCCATTTCATCAACTGGCGAACTTAACGTGACCACATCATTAAATCGACAACATTTAAACGTTTGGTCATCCACGATTGACCATATCGTAATATTTCAATGTTCAACGATTTGGTCATCCACAATCGACCGCATGGTTAAATCGTCAAAGTTTAACCATTTGGTCATCCACGATTGACCACATCGTAAAGTCACCAACGTATAACGATTTGTTCAACCTCAATTGACCATATTGTTAAACTATCAACATTGACTACATCATCGTAAAATCGTTAACGTTCTACTATATGATCGTCCATGATTGAAAATATTATCCAATCGTCGACGTTGGACGATTTCGTCGTGGACGATAGACCATATCGTGCGATCATCAAAGTTTAACGATTTGATTAATCACGATTGACCATATCGAAAATCGTCAGCTTTTAACGAGTTGGTGCTCCAAAATTGACCATATCCTAAAATCATCAATTTGTAACGATTTGGTCATCCACGATCGACATATAGTTAAGTGGTCAACGCTTAACAATTTAGTCATTTACGGTTGAACAAATCGTAAGATCGTTAACGTTGAACGATTTTGTTATATACGACTGACCATAGCGTAAAGTCATCAACGCTTAACGATTTGGTCAAGTTAAATCGTTAATGTTTAACGGTTTAGTAATTTACGGTTGACCACATAGTAAAATTATCAACGTTCAACGATTTGGTCATCCACAATTGACCATATCATTAAATCGTCAGCGTTTAACGATTTTGTCATCCATAATTGACCATATTGTTGAATCGTCGACGTGTGACGATTCCGTCATCCACGATCGACCATATCGTGAGATCGTTATCGTTCAACGATTTGGTTATCCACAATTGACCATACCATTAAATCGTCAGCGTTTGACAATTTGGTCATCCATAATTGACCATATTGTTGAATCGTTGACGTTTGTCAATTAGTCATCTACGATCGACCATATCGTGAGATCGTTATCGTTCAACGATTTGGTTCTCCACGATTGACCATATCATTAAATCGTCAACGTTTAACGATTTGGTCATCCATAATTGACCATATTGTTGAATCGTTGACGTTTGACAATTAGTCACCTACGATCGACCATATCGTGAGATCGTCAACGTTCAACGATTTGGTTATCCACAATTGACCATATCATTAAATCGTCAGCGTTTAACAATTTGGTCATCCATAATTGACGATATTGTTGAATCGTGGACGTTTGACAAGTTGTCATCTACGATCGATCATATCGTGAGATCGTTATCGTTCAACGATTTGGTTCTCCATGATTGACCATATCATTAAATAGTCAGCGTTTAACGATTTGGTCATCCATAATTGACCATATTGTTGAATAGTCGACGTTTGACGATTCCATCATCCACGATCGACCATATCGTGAGATCGTTATCGTTCAACGATTTGGTTCTCCACGATTGACCATATCATTAAATAGTCAGCGTTTAACGATTTGGTCATCCATAATTGACCATATTGTTGAATCGTCGACGTTTGAGGATTCCGTCATCCACGATCAACCATATCGTGAGATCGCTATCGTTCAACGATTTGGTTCTCCACATTTGACCATATCGTTAAATGCGTTTAACGATTTGGTGCCCAAGATTGACCTCATCAGGTCTCCATAAAACCAAGGAATCTTGTTGTTGTTCTTGTTAAAGATTAATGAGCACTTTTCGAGTCTAGATTTCTCACCTATACTGTCCTATTCTGTTTCCAGGAAAATATGTGATCCACACCTGACAGCATTTGAGCCGGAAGCTATGGGTAACCTAGTAGAAGGGATGGACTTCCATAAGTTTTATTTTGATAACGGTGAGTGATCGAAGTCCACTACATTAGATGTCAGAAATAATTGAAATTTTGTTATTTCAGTGCTGGGCAAGAATTGTAAAGCAGTAAACACGACGATTTTGAATCCGCACGTACATTTATTAGGGGATGATGCCGCCTGTATCGCCTACGTACGGTTAACGCAGTACATGGACAAGTAAGTATATCAGCAATATGAAAATGACTCCCGAAGTACGGCAGCGTACGGCTGTCGTTTCTCAATTTCCTCGTTTCAATACCGCGAATTTTCCAGACACGGCCAGGCGCACACCCACCAATCCGAGGAGTCCCGCGTTTGGCACAAGCGTGACAACAAGTGGCAGAACGTGCATTTCCACCGTAGCGGTAGCAACGGCGGCGGTGGAGCGGCGTTTGGATTCAGCGGCACACACAAGTAGGCCGTGACGGGCTGTCGTTGCGCTTGCGCGGGCGCGAGGTCCACTGGCACGGCGGACTGACCTTGAGATTAGAGCTGTGGTGCGAGCGTGCTCGGTAGGGAGGTTTGGTCGCTGTAGTTGCGCTGCGTTGCCAAGATGGGAGATATTTTGCTGGATTTAGGGATTTTTGCAACGCCCTTGAGAATGAAGCAATGTTTATATACTATCAAGAAAAAGTAAAGGAGCAAGAAAAAATTTTTTGGGGAATTCAAAGCAGTATGCGAATTTCCGATGGTTAGGTTTTAGTTTCCCTTTTGAAAAATCAGAAATAATGTTGGATTTTCTTTCTCAGTGACACAACAAATGTTTCGTAGAGCAATTGAACTGGGTATACCTACAAGTGACCAATCCTTTCACCGCATAGCATATTTTTGAACTACGATTTACTGTGGAAATTTCTATTGTGGTGATGTGTGATTCTATTTTTTACGTTTCTCATTTGTATTTTACGTCTCAATGATTATATACTATGTATCTATATGTAAATGTTAAGTTGTCCAAGGTCTCCCGACTCGGGTCACCGGTTCACAAGTAGGAATTTTGCTAGTGATTACACTCTGCTCGGTAAAATTTAAGAAAGATTCAATCAGTCTATAGATTTATGAGAATATGTCATCTGAAAGAGATATTGAAGGCTGTTTTTTCAATTTTGTCGTACAGCGTAAGTGTCTGCTACCCCCTTGTATTGCATTCTAGCTAGCGTGTCTGCTATGAATCAGTACACAACCAGTTAGGTCAAAATTGATACAGATTTAGGTGGAGCAGCCCTCATACACAGCTAGAGAGTTCTCCAATTCGAGTCGGGGTTGGGATCATTGTGGTATAATCAGCTACCAAGATTCCTGCGATTTAGCGTAAACGATTTTCGACTTATTTGTTAAAGAGCACTGTTCTTATGAATGATATATCCCTAAAAATGTTGTTGTGCATCATACTCTATCATCTATTCAGCAGACTTGTACATAAAACGTTTGCTTGGACATTATGTATAAAAAGTATAGATGTCGGCAAAATCAGATTTATGCATTCTAATCGGTCTTTTGCATATTTCATAGTTTTTAAATATTATAGAAGGTATTTAATATATACATATTGAACATTTTTCAAGTCCCAAGGCCTCTACTACAGCTACAGGCCGTTTTAGATCGATTGATAGTAATACAACTTATGGTCTCGATTGAAATTTTCCTTCAGATATCATCGTGCGATCGAAAACGCCTAGCTTTTTCTGTAATTTGCTGAGGTTTTTGCGGACTAAATTCTCTAAAAAGGAATGCCTTTTTCTCAAAGTCTGGCTCTTCAAAATCAGTATCAAGCATGGAGACCTAGGGCCGTATCGTCGGTCGTTCCTGCAATAATTGTCAGCTTGACATTGCTTAGGATCCAAAAGGAAAACATAACCTCAAAATAGAGCGCTGACTCGGAACAGTAGACATCTAGAAATACCCCTGCCTTTCTGAAGGACAGAAGAAGATTGTGGAAATCCAGGAGGTCATAAACGGCGTCCTACAGTTGCAGGAACGACTGACGATACGGCCCTGAGTCTTAATTAAAGGAGGTGGTAAGATATACTAGCTATATACATATATTTGAAATATACAGAAAACGTCGTACTTTTATCAATGTTTTTGTATATTTTTTAACCTCCAGAGTATAGTTAGCAAAATATACAAGTAAGAATTAAGAACTAATTCATTTCGAGAGCGTCGGCGAGAATCCTGCTCTAAGCGTAGTTGTGATTCACCTTCGTTCTAAAAGATTGAGCATCTTCCAAGACCTTACAATAATCATCCGTTACTGTACAGTGAAATCCAGCTTATCCCGTACTTTAAAGGACGCAAGTTTTTCGATTTCAATGCAAAGTTAGCACTTTAAAATGTAACAACAGCGTGAAGCGGCCATTAACTTCCGGAAAATTGCCAATAAAAAACAAACAAATAAATCCCGCTGAACATAGTGATCTCTTAGGGCACTACTGACGTACGCCGACCAACGAAAATGACGTCAATATGACGATCTAATGACACACCCAATTGACGTCATAGTATGTCGTACACAAGACGTCTTGTTATCGTCCAAAAAATAGCGTCATTTTTTAGTCAATGACGTTTCCGACCAAAAGTGACCGTATAATGACGTCATCGTGGCGTCATGCTGCTGAGCTCCCAGCGCCATCTATGACACAGTAGAAGAACCAAACGCTATCTCCTCTCAAAGCAGAGGCTTCTAAATTTGTTTTTGCTAAATTAACGGAACTTAATCGCCGCACCACGTATATCTCCTTTGAATAAGGCAAATTTAAACTTAAATTACCTTTATAATAGATCATAACTGTTTGTATGAACAATTCACCGAATATGCACCGTTTATCCTAACACCCGAAATAAATACTTTTGTATTCGCCAATTGTTATTTTGCTCTTATAGAGCAACCTTGAAGTTTGGTCGAATACGTTATAATTTGTAATGATCATTTTCAAGTGCAAGATTATGGGTTATCGCACTTCGTTTTAGTTTGTTTGGCATTTAGTTGTTTCAGCCGAAGAATTCGATTGAATCAGAAGGAGCTAAGCCAAAGTTCAGCTTAAACTGAAACTGTCTGGAACATCAGGAACGTATGGAACCCACGCACTTTTATACGACTTTGCAGAAAATTAGCAATTTAATGTCAACAATAGTCAAACTATCGTATGCTTACTCCTTCTGCCTAGACCGAATCCGTTGGTTTGAACAATACACTTTGCTTGAGCGACTTTTTTTATTGGATTATCAAAATGATAGTTACAAAATAGCTGAAAGCAAAGTATGTTGCAACCAAATGAGAACAAAGTTGTTTGGACATATGTAAGTATATATTACTTCCAATTGACTGTTTAATATAAATATTACATGTTTTAGCTCTCTTGGTAAAACTAATGTGTAATCACTATGTATAACTGAATTTTACCGTTTTATGTCTTTCTTGTAATTTGATATTTTTCCCTTACTATGTGTTTCTGTGTACATTAAATAACGAACGTAGATAATCCCGATGATGAAAATAAAATCAGCATTATAATATAAGAGCCAACGATTCAAAACGAAAAAAATATTACATACAAAAAATATCAAATTACCGCTTCTCCAATGTATCGCTGCGACATTATCGAATTTAAAAGATAAATTATTGACTACATGTTTAGATGATAGGATCTTTTTTTAGTGAATTTGTAGCTAAAAGTGAATTGACTAAAATTGAGCATCATATTTTTGGGCCTAAATATTTTTTTTTTGTCAAAAATGTTCTCTGCGTTTATATCTTCTGAAATAATAAAAACAGAGATTATACGAGGCTTGTTCCATGAATCAGGTACCCACATTTTTTCAGGCACAAGGAATTTTTTATTTGAAAAAACGAATTCACCATTGGAAACGTTGCTAGTCGCCATTTTTCCTACGCATTTTTTTAGACGTGAAATCACTCTGTATCTTGAAAACTTTTAAACAGTAGTATTAGATAAAGTTTAAATAGAAAGCTTTCTGCAATCGAAAACACGTATTTTTTAGTAAAAAATGTCATTTACGGATTTTAAAGATATAAACGCAACGAGACCCTCACCTTAAATCTTCACACGTAGTTTTAGCGTTACATAGCCCACTTTTAGTAGAGATATATGTACAAAATGCTGATTGTTTTTGTACTTAAGTTGTTTCTCGTTTTACGCCATATTTTCATGGTGCAGATTTTAATGTTGTTGATTTAATTTTAGTATAACTGTAAGATGTGTTCTAAAGGTACTACCTTAGTACGCATCATCGTCTTTCTGTCCTCTACCAATCACCAAAGTATAGGAAATGTGTTTTTCAAGTTACCATTCTAATAAATCGAACAACAAAGGTATGTTTTTAACCCGCAGAGTATCAGGCTGATATTCTGTGATCGTGTAAGGTGTTTTGTCTGAAGATATCTTCTTCATTATTTTAGTGATGCACAAAACGGTATCAGCATGTATTTTGCTTGCGTTTGTGTAGGTGATTCACTCACGAAATAAAGAAATCTTGACACTACCTACTTTGCACATTTTAAAAACATACTTTATGTAATTTTTTTCTTATTAAAATAGGTCAAGCTATTTAAACAGAAATACTTTATAAACTATGTGTTGAAGTCATAGTTTTAACGTTCTGTGCAATATATTCAAGTACTTGTAAATTTTTCCATATTTGCTCATTTTATGTTTCTGTGTATAGTCGTGTTGAATAAAAAATTTTCATTATATGATATAGAACCGATTTGTTGATTGTTTAAGTGCCATTTTATATATTTCAAGTTTATATTTTTATTTATTTTTATTACTAAGTGTTGAGGTATTTAAAATATTGTAAATACAGATACAAAGTTTGCTTCTATCAATCTGATATGTACTGTATGTTTTACCTTTACAATCAAGTGTTTCAGTAAAACAACTTTTATGGAAAATTAAACTGAAAGTGTTTACCACTTGTTTCATTACGCCAAACCGAAATAAATAATGAATTTCAGCTCGATTGGTTAAGGTTGATTCAGTTTCAGGATTTGTCCCACATACGCATACTAATGAAAACGTTTATAAACTACAATTTGGACAGCGAGCCGAAAAATAGCGAGAGAAAGTGGCTCGCCAGCATTTCTCTAATATTTACCTTATTCACAGTTTTTTAAATATAACCATGTCAATGTAAAATATGTTTTATTCTGTTAAATCTAAACTATTCATTATTTTACGTGTACTTAGGAACGGGTAAATATAATTAAACACAGCTTCAACCAAAAAATAAATTTTTATTCGAAAATAAATAACACGCGCGCATTGATGAATAAGTTAAAATCATTAAGTCCGATCTAAAATTAAATAATATCATTTGTTTCGGTTTGTTTAGACATCACACTATCACTTATTAAAATCACAAAAACGGCAAAAAAATATTGCCGTCATTTGAACTAGGCGGAATGTTTGGTGCAAAAAAGTGTCTACTTTCCACATCCGATTATCCGAATATCAGAAGTACGTAGTAAATTTTTATCTTAGACTCAAACGGCCTGAAGTATGGAATTTTATCCAAAAAATGCTACAATGTAGATTTATTGTAATGATAGACCAGTATTCCTGAACCAAATTTAAGAACAAGTCATATAAACATGTGTTCTAGGAAGTCTAGCTTTCAAGATGTAGGGTTGCAAAGTTTAAAGTGGAAAGCGGTTTCGAACATTTTTGATCGTTTTGTTATTACCCTTCATTTCTTAGATTTTTAAGATGGCTTACAGATAAATCAAACTAAAATTCTATTTTAATAATTCTTGATATTTTTTCCGCAAAAACGAAGTAGGAAACAAGGAAATGCCAGGTGGAACAAACATTGTAGATTTCTGTGCTTTATTCGAAAAAATCGTATTTTTATATATCAGACTCATACATTGTTTGCTAATATTATTAATGAGATTACCCTCCGAGACGCCGCTGGAATTCATAATTATCTTCTACTTAGTGTTAAAATAATGTCTTATGACAAAGGACAACAGTGCTAAAATTTAATATCATCTTTCAGGTATTAATAAAAAAAACAATTTTTCAATTTTGACTTACCCTGCACCTTTTTTCTACTTAAATTTGGTTCAGGAATATGCACTTCTGATTACGGCGTGTATATACGAGCACCTTCAATACCATATAATTTCAAAACGGCCTATAGACTTAATAGGCGATCAAAATTTGCTTACGAAAAAATCTCACTTTCAGAACAAAGAAAAAGAAAGCAACACTTTCATCCACCAAACGATCCGTATTTGAAAATATCGTGGCTTTTACTCCTTCCTATGCAGAACATGTTGTTGTATCATAGTGTAAAGCAGGCCTAACGTGAGCGATCCCACCGCAGCTCCTTGCGCTCCCACTCTGAGATGCATTAGATACACGCTCGTGCTCATTTTCCCTCGATTTTTGAAAGCGTACGCTCCGTAGGCTACCGATAATAAGCACGCACCGATTGCTGAAAAGTCGAAAAAGGACACAGTGAAATGGTGGGTAGATTACTGTTGTTCTGTCAAAGTTCCACATCGAAAACTGTTCAATATAATTGAAAGGAAAAGAAGGTTGGCACCATGAAGGTTGACGGACAACTTGGACCGAGTAAAGAAATTTTTCTCGAAATCGTTGCGCAGCGTTTGAAAAATGCAAATGAAGATTAGAAAACTGTCGCTTTGACGTACTAAATGACTCCGTCGTTACCCCGGGATAGACATACGATCTTGTCACCTAGATTGCGGCGTTGCCAGCTCATCGGACAATTTTGGTATCTCTGCAATTTTGCTGGAATGTTATAAAAAAAGAAGCTTTGGATAAAATATTGAGGGATACCAATGAAGATATACAAAATATGAGGCGTAGCAACGTTAATGTCTCTCGAAAATCGCCAGCATGCCACAGTTATTAACCTAAAAAAAGTAGCATTGAACTAACGGTTTATACGAGGGTCATTTCAATAACCTAAGACGCTCTAATAGTTCGATATAAATTACAATAGCAATCATCAACGTTACTTCAAAAACATCGGATATCAACCCTAAAACACAAGTGATGAGTATGCAAGGCTCACCTAGTTTCCCTCAGAGAGAATTTCCACTTTGGAGACACTCGACACCTACGTCACAGCACTAAAGCACCACTGAGACACGATCGAGAACCCTATAGTGAACACCACTACTAAAAAAAGTAGCTAAACGGAATAGAGCTCTGCGCGGAGCTGTGAACGCGTAGACATTCCGCTGCGGCGACGGTTGCCGAGAGACTGATGCGTGCGAGTGCTGTACCTCGCTGCGGCGATACGGCAAGTCCGGGTAGTACAGCCACGCCCCTTTCCAGCTCCTACTCCGCGCGTCCGCTGCCGTCAACGTAAACATCGAGTCGCTTCGTGATACTGATACTAGGAAGAACTATTCGTAAAGTAGTTTATCCTATAAAACTGGGCATTTAAAAAATGTTCAAAGACATTACCATTGCTACGCCTCAAATGTTATATATCTCCATGGGTATTCTTCAATATTTTAATCGGAACTTCCTTTTTTTATAACATTCTATCAAAATAGCAGAGGTAGCAAAATCGTCCGATGAGCTGGCAACGCCGCAATCCAGATGGCAAGAATGACAAGGTTATCTGTCAACACGGATGTCTATCCCGCGGTACCGACGGAGTCATTTAGAACGTCAAAGCGGCAATTTTCCAATTTAGACATTTTAACAGTTGTCTTGCGTGGCCATGTTATCTTCACTCGTTCCAAAAAATTAGAAGTCATATTTGCGCGAAAAACTCCACGAAGGCCTTCATAGTTTTGTAGTAGACCTTGTGGGCACTGTATTTTTAATAATTTCAGTAATAATCAGTTCATTAAACGATAAAGCTAAATACACTTTAAAGCCACTATAAACGCATAAATCAGAGCCTCCTTCCATCTTCATTCACCTGTCCACTGTCAAGGACCAAACGTCAGTGACCAATGTCAACCAGCAAACGCGTGAATTTCAAATTTGAAATTTTATTGCTAGTTTGATGTCAAATTCACATTTATGCTTTTGAAAATTGGCCATGAACTCAATTCTTGAACAAATCAGTGGATTTATTGTCAATGTAAAATGGGTATTAGCTGTACTGTACATGACAGTGCCCAAAAGTGGTTCTACTTGATGTCATCTTTCAAACTGCTTTTATTTGAAATTCAACAAAATGTGTGTCTTCTTAGACTGGATTGAAAAATTACAATTACAATTCTCACAAACATTCAGGCATCCCTTATATCAAACTCACCTATGGGAAAGAAAGGTGTCTCCTTAGATTTCCTGGCTAATTTTTCGGATGAAGTTTCTTCGTCGTAGTAAAGTTGAGACTGGGACATGTTAGTTGCTGAAAAAAAAGTGTTGTATATTTCCATTTGGCGCCATAATAATTTGTACTTTGTTACATCACACACTATGAAAGTCATCAATAACAAACGGAAATAATCGATATGACTCAAAAAAATCATGACTTACTCATCGACATTTCGAAAATAAATTCCTAAACTGCAACTTAAAGATAAAGAAGGAAATGTAGGAGGAAAATTACCGAAAGTGCTAAAATTTAGAGTACACCTAACCTAAAATACAGCTGGGACAAACGTCAGCTGTCTAGAATAGCTGAATAAAAAGTGATGGGCAGCACAAAACACATAAGACTGAAGAAGCGGGAGCTGCACGTCAAACGATGGCCACACCGTTGACGTTTGTCAGATGGTTGCACCGCCTACTTGTCTGGAGATCTAGATGAACTATCGAAAGAATGCCGAGTAGATTGTCTCTGCACCTACTTGAAGCATTTTAAAGGGCTCAAAGGGATGATGCTCCAATAAAATATGAGGCACGATGGCGGATATGAAAGACTATTACTTTATTTTATGTATAGAAAACATTTTTTAGTCTTTTAATAAAAAAAAACTGACGCTACAAATGTTGGCTATAAAACAGTAAATTGATTTTTTGACAAGGAATAAATTCATACCACATAGGAAACTGTGTTCATGTTGTTATGACAACCAAATATGTATACAAAATTGGTTAATGCAAACTGATTCAAAGTTATCATTATTATCTGTCTATTTTTCACAGCGACCCATATCAATTGAGTGGTTTATACAAGTTAATAAAAAAAATAGTTGGGCGCTTTCCATCCATTAATAATTTTATCAAACTTGAACACTCGACTTTTTAAAATAATTATAAGTACAGCTCACTCTTGTAGATATGATAAGATAATGTGGAATGAAAGGTTATGGTTTTCTCATGAGGAGTTTTGTCAAGCTAATTGTTCAATTTGTAAATTTGATATACCGAAAAAAATATTTTCCATCTAGATTTTCGATACGCAAGAATTTCCAAAAATATAAAATTTTAATTTTTTCCCCGTTGTTCCAAAAATGAACAAGTCCTGGATTAGAATTTGTTTATGCAATAAAGGCGCTGAAATGTGTCGACGTACGGGGTGTAAACCCAATATCCTCATCTACCTCCAATTAAGCATTTTCAGTAAAAAAATGGCGCCAATTTGATTGACTTCCTGCGCGTTCGTTGGAGCCATTTTTTATAAAATAATTAAATTCCAACGATAAAACGACATACATACATAATACATAGCTACATGGTTATTATATTTTCCGATAAGTATTTAAGCAAGTAGTAGAATAATATTGAACTTATTTCCCTATCGCATTCTATTTTCGTCAGGATTCTAAATTAGCAGCTAGCCCCTTTTGGTTAATTATCGCTCGATCTATTTCCTAGAGTCGAACCAGATCAGGATATCTTAGTATCAGAGTTGAATTATTATATTTTCCAATCACTAAGCTACGTAATACGGATATACATTCTTCAAATAATAAAAATTCAATAGCTCGTTATCAAAAGTGCAAACTATAACTCCGCGTATATAAGTCAACTCGTTGATCTAGCAACATGACAATCGCATCTGAATACCTACAATAAGCGCATCCGAAACATTAGAAATGCGATTTTTAGTGCTCGTATTGGCACTATGCTTGACATCCGCTCAAGGTCACGTAGTACAAGTACGAGACAGACAAAAGATAGTTGGGGTAACGGAGACCGATGATTGGTGGAAGACTGGCGTATTCTATCAGATATATCCAAGGTCTTTCATGGACGGAGATGGAGATGGTGTTGGAGACCTTAAGGGTAAGTAAGGGATTCGAAATCTTACACTTCAGGCTCATGAAACAATCCTGTCTACTATACTTTGTACTGCAAGAAGCATTCAGAGCTAGTTTCATGTCAATGAGACGCGTATATGTTAGAAAAATAACAGGATAATTGGACAGTCCAAATTACACATATGGTGTTCCCCAAGGACCTATTTTGGGACCTATACCGTCCCTGATGTACCAGGTGATTCCTCAGAAGCGAAAAACTATTGTCATTTCAGGTGTCAAGGCTAAATTAAAGTACCTAAAGGACATTGGAATAACAGGAGCTTGGTTGTCTCCTATCTTTAAATCTCCAGGTGTCGATCAAGGCTATGACATTTCTGATTATTATACCGTCGATGCCGTCTTTGGCGGGAACGCTGCATTAAAAAAGGTGAGTGAAACTATACATTTTGAGGTTCAAAGAATAATTTTTTTTTTCGTTTAATCGCGAACAAGGTATTATGGGAAGCGAAAATGCTTGGACTAAAGATAATCCTGGACTTCGTACCGAACCACACCAGCGATCAAAACGAGTGGTTCAAGAAATCCGTCAACGGCACCGACGGCTATGAGGATTACTACGTTTGGAACGAGGGGAAAGTCGACAGTAACGGAACAAGAGTACCTCCCAATAACTGGGCAAGTGAACAAAGATCAGTTTAAAGCGAATAACAACTTTTTTCTATACAAATTTTTAAGCTATATAGAGGGTTGAAATCGTCAACTCAACTCGGTACCGCAGGAAATGTCTGAAGGCTTTTTATGTGTAGGTTTCTATCTTCAAAGGGTCTTCGTGGACTTGGAACGAGCAAAGAAAGAAGTTCTACCTCCACCAATTCGCTACACAACAGCCTGATTTGAACTACTCCAATCCCAAGGTTATGGAAGCGATGAAGGTACGACACCACTTTTATCGTGAAACAATTACACTGGCTGTACGTAAATACCAAGTACCATCACTGCTAAGTCAATTTATGTGTGGTATTTCATTCACCAAAAACTTTCAAAACAACAAATGTTATTGCAGTCTTCGATATGTAGAAAACAACACCTCTCACTCATACACTATTGGCCTACCTGTTTCGTTTCTTGTATCAACTCCGGCTCTCCTCACTTCCCGCGTATAAGCTTTAATCTTTCAGAAAGTGTTGACCTACTGGCTGGACCAGGGCGTAGACGGCTTCCGAGTGGACGCAGTTCCTTACATCATGGAGGACAAAGAACTGCGCGACGAACCTTTAACGCCCGGTCACAAGTACGACCAAAACGACGTCGACTGCGTCGAACGCATCTACACCAAGGACATCGATGAAACGTTCGACGTCGTCTACGCCATTCGTACTCATGTGGATGAGTACGCGAAGAACAAGAAAATCACCACCAGGTCAGTACTAGTTTGATATCGAGGCTACGCTGTTATAGAGGCAGGTGTTGAAGAGGGAGTCAGTCAGTATGTAAGGAGTAGTCGACGCGAGCGCGAACCACTCCCAGTTGTTAGTTACATTATTTGAATATTATTACAGAGTATTGATGTCGGAAGCATACGCAGACCCTGACAAGACCATGCGGTACTACGGCACCAGTGATGGTAAGAAGCTGGGTGCTCATTTCACTTTCAATTTTAATCTGCTGACCATGATCCAAAATAAGGACTTCAAAGTTGCTGACATCGCGAAAGCGATCAACTTGTGGATGGGCAAGATGCCCAAGATATACACTCCGAACTGGGTGGTAAGTGCAATTTTACAATCGGTGCTACTGCAGAAAAAATGGAGTCGAGTAGATTGACTCAAATCTTAGTTGAAGAGACATTTAAATCATCATGATATTAGTGAAGAGTTGAGAAAAATTTGGATTTGGTTTTGATGAGTTTTTGGGGATCTTGTTCCTCTTTGGCTGCGCCCTAATTCATCAGAAACTTTAAAACGAAGAGTGGAGTTTTTTTTGGTATTGTTGGTATTATATTATTATAATTTATACAGGGTGTCTCAATATTCCATTGACCCATTGGCTGTAGTCTAGTGTTGTATCTTCGAGTTTCGTTTATTTATTCAGCGTATTTTTTTAGGACTGTTGATTCGGTATTTATCTTTCCTGACACAACCAAACAACGTCGTTGAACGCTTTATAGAGTTTATTTTATTGGCACTATTGTTTATTTTTCCGATGATGCTTACAGCTAGGTAACCATGACAACCACCGTATAGCATCCAGACTCGGCTCCGAAAACGTGGATCCGTTCAACGCCCTGACAGCCTTTTTACCGGGCGTCATGGTCACTTACAACGGCGAAGAAATCGGCATGACGGACGGTCACGTGACCTGCGAAGAAGGCCAAGACCCCGTCGCGAAAAAAGACTGCAGCACGTACAACGCGACGTCCAGGGACTTCGAGCGTACGCCGATGCAATGGGACGACTCGAAGAATGCCGGGTTTACCGTCAACGAGAAGCCTTGGTTGCCCGTGGCTGATAACTACAAGGAACTTAACGTTAAGGTTTGTTTCGTACTAGGGATTTATAGCATCTGTTTGAACGTAGCGTTTTTGGAAGCTGGAGGATATGTGTAACCACACCTTTTGACGATTTTATATATTTAAACTAAAAATACGCTGAGGATTGAAATCCTGCATACATAAAGTTCAGCAAAAAATGGAAATTCGTACTGATTCCGAACCGGTTCTTAAGTATTCTATATTGCTTTCCAGTAAACACAGTGACGTCATAATCTAGGAATTTTTCGGATACTACTGACGTACGCCGACCAACAAAAATGACGTAGAAATGATGTCATTGTGACAGTCTAATGTCACACCCAATTGACGTCATAATATGACGTCTCTGTGACGGCGATATGACGTCTATGTGACGTCGATATGACGTATATGTGACGTCGATATGACGTCTATGTTACGTCAATATGACGTCTATGCGACGTCGATATGACGTCTATGTTACATCGATATAACGTCTTTGTGACGTCGATATGACGTCTATGTTACGTCAATATGACGTCTATGTGACGTCGATATGACGTCGACATGACATCTATGTTACGTCAATATGTCGTCTATGTTAAGTCAATATGACGTCTATGTGACGTCGATATGACGTCTATGCTATGTCGGTATGACGTATTTGTGATATCGATATGACGTCTATGTTACGTCAATATGTCGTCTATGTTAAGTCAATATGACGTCTATGTGACGTCGATATGACGTCTATGCTATGTCGATATGACGTCTTTGTAATATCGATATAACGTCTATGTTACATCAATATGACGTCGATATGACAACAGTCGCTCGCAAACAATATCACGCGGTGTATCCAGAAACTCCTGAAAACTAATTAAAATTATTAGAAAAGACATAACAAGATTTTTAGTCAAAGAATTCACGTTACTTTTTTGTGAGTAACAAGGGACTACTTATTAGTATCTGGATATTTACGTAGTTCGCCTTACTATTCATTAAAAGTCTATATTTCCTTTGTAAGCAAGTGTTGATTTTTGATTGCTGACTGTCCTGAAAAAAGGCGTTAAAACGACAGCCTTTTAAAGCACGTCTTGTTGTCGTCTTTTTAGTCGATGACGTTTCCAAAAAGTGACCAAATAATGACGTCATTTTTTCGTCATCGTGTTCACTGGGTTCTAACACTACTGGTTCTGAAAGGGAACTAAAAGTTCAAATTTGCGCTGTTTTGTGCCTTTTCTGACTTCACAATCTCATCATATATCAAAGCTAAATGCTAAAGGCTTATTGTGCCGTTTATTACACATTAAAAAAATGTGTGACTGTGAAATTTACTTTCGAACAGATTTAACTGAAAATGGTGATCTTTCGCTGATAATATATTATTAGTTCCAAGAACCAGAAAAAAATATTAATATGCAAATATTGATAATTTTGACAACATCAGGAGTAGAAATACTACGTATATAGTTATACTTAACAATATTTTTTCATTTTTTATATAGAAAGAGAAAGCGTCACCCACTTCTCACCTGAGCATCTACAAGTCCTTGATCCAATTCAGGAAGAAATACGTGAATAGGCCTTCGAAGAAGGACAAGCTGATTGTAGGTGGGCAGAGCAAAGTTTTGAAGCTCTACAGAGAGCGGGATGAGGGCAGCTATACTCTTCTTTTCAACGTTGCTGATGTACGTCAAAAAGTTGATCTCGTTAAGCAAAAGCTTTTGCTTACTACCAAGCCGAGTGCGCAACGTCAGATCGGGTAAGGACATTTTTATTCTTCTTGAGAATAACAGTAACTTTCTTATATGGTTTTTTTTTTGTTTCAGTTCGATTTTGGAAGACATTACGTTGGAACCTCACGAGACTGTGATCCTGAAAACAGCGTAAATCGCTAAGAAGAAGATTCAAATACTTGTGATAACTCATGTTACCTGATTTGATAAAATAAATGCCATGTATTCTCACGAGGTGTCTGAATTTATTTAATAAAAAAGCTGCATTAGTAGCGGGAATGCAGGGTGTTGTTCAAAGACAATTACTTTGAAACCCAATGTGTAGTAAATCAGCATCGAAACAGTAAAAACGAAGAAAAGTGCATATGTCTAGTTAATAAAAATTTCAAGTATCGCCCTTGTCAAACGTTGCCTAATAATTGTTTGCTTAATATTTATTGAGCATCGTTGCTAGAATTACGTTCTTTTATTATAGATATTCATATAAACGAAACTTGCATCTCTACGAATTTTCACTGTCCATGAAAGGCTCCTTTAGCTTTTTTAAACATATTTCAATTACAAGTAGACTATATATCATTATTTAGATTATTAAATTCAAGTAATCCCTTCTGAAATATTGATTGGGTAGTTATATTGCTAATGCAATTTTGTAAATGGATATATTTCCTCCTGCATAATAATTGTGCTGATGATTATTCAATTTCATGTTGTCTTCTAAATGTCACGGCAAAAGATGATTTTTTATGTTAAATATGAAAATGACCAAATATGTGGTGTACTTATTGTAACATCTGTTGAGGACCGTGCCAGTGACTCGCCTTCTAGATCGACCCGAAGTGACCTCGACAATTCTGGAATGCCGCTATGTGGCTCACCGATCTCTTCTCGAACGAACGATGCGCACTATATAACTCGGCGGCCGGGGGAAGGAAGCAGAGTAGAGTAGAGCAGAGTGGAGTATAGTTCAGTCAATGATGCGACATAAGAATTAGTCAGACATAAATAGGAGGAATCCAGTGTTTTAATCCACTCAAAAGAACCCAGAAAAACGCTACACTATTTTTATTCAATATTACGTATAGCTTTATTTTGTACGACTGTACAATCCACTTGAAGATATCTTATCAATCGAAATGTTGTCATCTCAAAATGGAAGTTCGAAATAAAACTTTTGAGATAAGTGGTTTGGACGTATACGCTGATATATGGGATGCCTAGGTACTTTAGGTATAAAACAAGGAAATCTTTTATACTGTAACACCTATATATTCCATGTAACATAACAAATCCAGTATGTTCCATATATTCCGAAAATTTCTAAAATACATACAACAGACTTATTTTGTCGGATATTACATTTTTGGAAAGGAACTCATCCTTTCGGATCCGTAATTGCCTCGAAAATAATATAAACAGTCTTTATGCGACGCTACATTTATGGTACGAGAATTAGTGCTGATTTTCGTTATAGCCCAGTCATTTAAGGTTTTGAATCAATCATTTCGATATGAATATAGTATCAAACATGACTATGTGTTATAATCAAAACTGAAAAAAACATTCAAACTCTATAGTTAGGTACTTTCCAACTTTTTGAATTCAAACGTTCACAGATCTTTATATACAGGGCGTTCCAACGAAAATGGAAAGTAGTTTTACTAGCAAACTGAAAAAGATATCGAAAATCTGTCGTAGCAACTTTGTATGTTACTAGTGCATATTTCAAAATTATTTAGAATATACAGGGTGTTTCATAACTTCGTGCTATAGCAAACATATATTTTTTTTTAAAAACACCCTATATTTTATTGCATATTTGGATAGAGCTTCTAAAAACAAGAAGCATGATTAAATATAACGTATTGATCGAAATGTCCAGCTTTGAGAGCTCGAGCTCCACCATGTTTAACGATATTTAGAAAAATCTGGATTTCTGAATTTTTTTCATTTATACCGCAAAATGTGCCTTTTTTTCAAGAATTTCAAACGGAACACCATGTAAACGTTTTCGAGTATTGCCACTAATTTCAACAGAAACGAAATGCATCTTGTTTTTAAACATAAGTCAAATCGTTTATCAATAAAATAGGTAAGTCTGGTTAAGCTCTCCTTTTACACGTCCCCAGAGAAAGAAGTCGAGAGGCGTTAGATCGGTAGATCTCGCTGGCCAATTGATCATTGTTTTAATCGGAGACCTGAGTTTAAGCCTAATGTGAATTTTTTCTTTGAATCAATAGCAAAAACTCGAAAACTGATCGAAAAAAGTGGAAAAACCATATAAAAAAGTTCATAAAGAAATCTATTTAATGATGCAGAAATATACAGGGTGTTCCATCTAAAATAGAAAAACATCTTAGCATTGCTTAAAATCGATGATAATAAAATTTTTGTGGACTAAAATTTATCAGAATATTTTCAAAAATGGCGCAGCTGTGAGAGGTAATTGGGAATTTTTTCAAACATTTCATTGAATATCATCCAAACAATTGAAACTTCTAAGAAGCTCTATCCAAATATGCAATAAAACTTGCACATTACATGTAAAAAATACATGTTTGCTATGCCATGAAGTTATGGAATATATTAAAATAATTTCAAAATACACATCAAGGTTTCTAGGAAAACAGATTTTTGATATATTTTCCACTTTTCGTTTTCGTTGGGACACCATGTATTTACACCTTTTATACTGACTTTGACGCAAATCTTGATAGCGTCAAAACAATACTGGAAATAAAAACAATCTAATTTTTTCCTAAAATGACTGGCCTATAACTATAGTGTTACGCCCAATGCTTTATATACAGTAAGCAAAAACAAAGTTAGCTATGAAATTACTGATCCGAAGAAGGGGTCCTCATATAAACATCCCAATTATAGATAAGGTACGATCAGTATTTACAGTCCTTAGTATTACTTAAAGCATTCTCTTTTTAATCATTTAAACGTTTACAAAAAACACGCACGCGTAAAATCAACAACAACGTAAGTAACATACGAACGAATACACAACCGATAGCATTATTGTACTAAAGTGAAAAGGGGTTTCGTTGAGCTCTGAATAATAGAATTTATTCAATGAAAAAGTGCACTATACACAACCATAATTCATATATATGTTCACTAAAAAGCAAAACGATTGTTAATGTGTCGTTTAGGAAACTTTCGGGAAGGTACTAGCTGTACCTGCTGAAGTATGTCACAATTACACACAGTCCGAATTAGCCCGTTATGGAGTCTCCAGAGCATCGTTGTCGAGTTAGTTTTAATTTAAGTTTGAGGATGCCGCTCTACACATGACTTACTTTGAGGAAATCGTTGAATTGTGACTCTTCTACTTCTGCATTGGAGGCAAGATATTTTGGCATATGCATTTTAGAAAAAATATATCTCCATGACCAAACAATAATACGTATTTTTCTACACGAAAAACGTATATGGTTTTTAACATTGTACACATACAGGGTGTTAGGGAAATGATATTCGTAACTTCAAGAGGGGATTCCTTGAATTATTGTAAGCAAAAAAGTTCATTATACGTTATGTCCGAATGTTCGGAGCAAAAAAATGCTGAACTTTTTAGTCATGAAATAAATTAAATTTGCACCTTAATAATTCAAATTCATATGCCTAATAGCGTAAAATGTCAATCAATAAATACATGTTTCTAACAAAATAATTTTCCGAAGAAACACAGACAAAAAAAATCCCTCACACAACTGGCAACGTCGTACTCTGTATGTATCATCGCGTGTTGTAACTTTATGTGATTTACGGGCGTTTCTTTTTTCGTACATCGCATCGTTTCAAATAATTGACCGATAATCGTGGGAATTGGTGGTGTGTATCGCCACTTACCGCGAAATTCTGTCATTTTTTAAGTAAATGTACTGTACCGAAAGCGTTATTAAATAAAAAATGTTAGCCACAAAAAATTGCGTAAAAGTATTCAATAATTCAAGGCATATTTTGAACAAAAATATCATCTGAACGTAAACAATTCGATGAATTAGTTGCGATCGTCGTGCGCTCGTATCGCGGTTGCGTTGCAGCGTTGCCAAATGTTTGAGAAAATGTAATTATTTACGACTCACTTTCCTCGAAAACCATTCATTTTCGGACATAAGTTATAATGAACTTTCTTGCTTAGAATAATGCAAGGAATCACCCCTTAAACTTACGAATATTATTTCGATATATTTTATTAAAGAAAAAAAAAATAGTCATGATCTAAAAAAAACCGACAGTTTCGTTTGATATATTTTTCCCAAAGAGCCTTGTATGCCTTTAAGCGTATCATAAACTATTGTGATCTGCTTTGTCAATTGTAAAAAGTGTATACCTTTTGGTATCGATAATTTGGGGTCCGGTGCGCAAAAGTTTTTACAACAAAAAAGTTTGCTTACAAGATACTATGTTTTACTCATATCAGGTTCAGTCATATAAAAAACTACATTTGTTTGCGACAAAACAGAAACTTTTTCATATCTAAAAAAAAAAACATCAAGTCGCTAATTTGGGATACGGGTAGTTTTTAACACAGGGGTTGAATAACTTGAGGTGAGGTTCAGACACAGATATATTTTCCCTCTAAGGAAAAATAGACGTAGAAGTTTTCAAAAAATATGAAAAAAGTTCCAATAAACATGGGTCCGGAAATGCAGGAAAAGGGTCATTAAAAAAATATATCATTATCTGAAAAAGTATTTACTCGATTTTGTTGATTTTTTGCAAAATTATTTGTTGTATCAAGAGGGTAGTTTATCCCTAAATAGGACCAGGGGCGTCCCGGGGGCACCTTAGCGAATATTATTGACAAAAACATGCACGCCGCTGCCCTCTGTGTAACCTAAATATTCGATATTTCATTAAGCATCTAAAGATACAATTTCTTTTCCTGTTTGTCTTTTTTCGTATCTTATTTCGTTTTCGACAAAAAAACCGTTTTATTGAATGTCACTGGACAAAATTGGCTAGTTTTTGCTAAAAAAATCACAAGAGCCTTTCTGCGTGGAGGTGTGACATTTGCCGGTCAGTTCAAATTTTAACAGAATCAACTAAATATTTTTTGAGATATTAATAAAAAAAATTTACATTCATCTTGAAAACATTTTTCGAACACCCTGTATATAAAAAAAAATCCTTTTTTGTCGCAAACAAAAATTGTCAAGCCTACAAATACGTAACATTAAAAATACAGGGCTTGCACACATATAAAATAACACAAAAATGCAATTATGAATTGTACACATTACCCTGTATATAAATATACAGATGTATATTTTTCTATGTGCTTATATCTAACAGTAATACCATGTGTTCCATAGAAAAACCTCTCATCTCTTCAATAGATATATGTATGATATAACAAAGTAAAGTATACAGGGTGTCCCAGCCGAATCCGTGTCAATATTTCATTCCTTGATTGTTGTGAGTACCACTTTTGTATTCATTGGGACACCCTGTACGACAATATACGTATATAGCAGCAAAAAATGTTTGGAAAAACCCTGCAAATATCAAACTAAATCCTATTCCTTCAACTTTGGCACATACTTTTAGCGCAATATCCTAATATACAGTCATGATAAATATATTTACAATCCTAGTGTATTTCTTTATGTCTTTTAAAATTCCGAGTGTAACGATATCGAAAAAAATCATCAATATAGTTTGATCTTTGTGCCTGTTAATTCTTACCCCAACTTCATAAAGTATCCAGAAGAAGCTTTCATAAAAAGATTTCTTTTAACATGTCAGAATGATTCTGAACTATACAACAACCTAACATAATCACAGTAAATTTGCAAAGTATTTTCAAAACGTATCACCTTTCTTCACTCAAAGGACGTGTCTTATTTTAGAAAAAGCACCTCGAGCCTTTTTCTGCTACTCCACAACCTATACACAGTTAAATGTTAAAAATCTTTCTAGCGACTAGATTATGTTTTCAATTTGAAATACGTTGACAGACTAGCTCGTTCAATCATACAAGTCGTGTCCAAAAATATGAGGCAAAATTTAAATGGCACGGTCTTGAAAAAGTCCAAAGAATCACCTCTTGAATTTTTGTCTCACCTTTTTGGGAAGACCGTGTATAAAACTAAATTGATTAAAGAGTCCGTATCAGTGTATAGTAAATGAAACAAGTATGAATGTATAAAGCAATGTAAGGTATCTAAATGATGAAAATGACTATTTTTACACACAAATAAGAAAATTCGTATCAGATAGTAACGAATCAGACAAATTCATCCCAGGTCGCTTATGTCTTTTATATCTATTGTCTTTCGAAGAAAATAATTTGAGCAACGTTTCAAAGATGGCTCATGTATAAATTCGGGATGTCTTTTATATTTGTCTTTCATTCGTAATTGATATTCCTCGGCATTTATTAGATTTTCGATTGTTGCTATTCATTTCCAAAAATGTTGCAACCGACTGGAATGATGGTAAATGCCAATTAGAAATCTTTCTCATTTTCTCCTTACACAATAATAAGAATGACAAATTTTGATACAATTAGCTTTTATGCTGTATCATTTTTCAATCATCAGAATTGTGATCAAAGTTTTGTCTTCCGTATCTAATATCGAGGAAGATCTGTTGATTTAACGACTTCGTCGTCTTTTGTACCGAAAAATGTCACTTATATCGTAACTGGCCGAGGGATTTTTTAGCAGGAAGCTGTCCATGATACCTGAAAAGATTAAAACTGTGAGAAGTCGTCAAACGTTAAAACGACTTAATTTTTATCCAAGTTTCAGCAAGTCCTGTCATTATTAGAATAGTTCAGGGAAGAATGATGACATGTAAGTGATACGCCTGCAATTGAGGAGGACATTTCCAACAATTCTTGTGTCAATTAAATTAAATAATAATAATAGTAGATATTGTCAAAACTTGTTGCAAACTTGATTTTTTAATTTTTATGCATTGCAAACTCACTAAAATCTCATGTGCTAGTTTGTAGGTAAAATGTTTTTTTTAATTTTTATTCAATTGATTAAAATAGCCAAAATTGTTTTTATTTTTTACGCGAAAACGGTCATCGGATGATAAAAATTCAAAAATTTGTTACAAAATAAATGATGATTTCAAAAATGATTTTTATTTTTGAAAAAAGCAATTACGTACCATATTTTTTTAAAGATTTCCAGTGTACGGACGCCACTGGTAGATATATTAAAACACATTCTACATAAAAAAATTGCTATTGCTGATTAGTAGGTGCATGTCAAAATTCATGAAAATATCTAGAACAGTATTGAAGTTATTATAAGAAAACGATTTTTTTCTTAAAATTTTAACATCCTGTAGCTCAAAAGTTGAGAGGCTTAGGACATATATTCATATAAACTTTTCTTTCCAAAATGAGCTAAGGAATCATATCCTGTAGTTTTATTTACACTCCATATAAATATTTCTTCTGTAGCGGTGTGTCAGTGACGACATCACCGCAGACCAGTTGGAGTTTGTTACACATTGCAACGACTGCAAAGTTATTTCGAATTATAAGCACATAATAAAAATAATAAGCTTCTTAATGATAGAATGTATTTGATTGACATTAAAGACTAAAAATTTACAATCTCCTACCCCCAAGTTTCACAATTCTTTTCAAAATGATCAGGAGTCTCTGAAACGTCAAAAAACAAAGTTTGACCGATTTTCATTTTCTCATATCTTTGTCTCTAGCTCTGCCACCACAGGACCGATTTTCAAAAATCACAAAGCAAACCAAAACAATTTATTCGAAGAAACGGACGTAAATTTCCTTATAAAAATATCTTTTTGATGTTCTTACCTGTTTTGTGTCCGAATCGTCTAGCAGTTGATCTCCGGTTCGTTATGGTACTTATTCTGCTGGCCAACCGGAAGCGTGCCAGCGTGGAACGCATCGATCCCGTTCGCCTCGGCACCGGGATTCACGTTCTGATACTTTTTGTTCTGCGCCATCGCCTGTTTTGCTAGCGCGCCGGCGTCCAGCGCGACGCCCGACTTCAGCGCCGCCTGGTGAGCTTGGTCCGCGGTAGGGCGGGCGACGTTGTTGTTGTTATTCGTCGGTGTCAGGATGTTACCGACTGGGACTGAGTTGGGCGAGGATTTGGCGACGTCGTCGCTTTCCGACGGCGTGATGGATAACAGTTTGTCCACCTTGGGAGAGACGGAAGATGAGATGTCAGTATTTTTCGAAGGTCTCTGTGTATGTTTGGAATCTTTTATGTTTTTAATAAAATTTTGGGATGTGCTTTAATAGCTCATTATGACTTAAGTATTTTTTGGTCGTTAACTAATGGCAATGTAAATTTAATGTTTTAATTTTTTTGTAGCCAAGCTAATAATAGCGTATTAAAAAAAATAAAAAAAGCTATAACACAATCTGCCTCCTGTGAGGATTGAACTCACGACCCCTGGTTTACAAGACCAGTGCTTTGCCACTTGGGCTACAGTTTCAAGTTAATCAAACTTTTGGAAATTGGTAAAAATTATGCCCAAAAATTTCATTAGATACATAGACGCCAAGCTAATAATAGCGTGTTAAAAAAAATAAAAAAGCTATAACACAATCTGCCTCCTGTGAGGATTGAACTCACGACCCCTGGTTTACAAGACCAGTGCTTTGCCACTTGGGCTACAGTTTCAAGTTAATCAAACTTTAGGAGGTTAGTAAAAATTATGCCCAACGATTTCATTAGATACATAGACGCCAAGATAATAATAGCGTGTTAAAAAAAATAAAAAAAGCTATAACACAATCTACCTCCTGTGGGGATCGAACTCACGACCCTTGGTTTATAAGACCAGTGCTTTGCCACTTGGGCTACAGTTTCAAGTTAATCAAACTTTTGGAAATTGGTAAAAATTATGCCCAAAGATTTCATTAGATACATAGACGCCAAGCTAATAATAGCGCGTTAAAAAAAATAAAAAAAGCTATAACACAATCTGCCTCCTGTGAGGATTGAACTCACGACCCCTGGTTTACAAGACCAGTGCTTTGCCACTTGGGCTACAGTTTCAAGTTAATCAAACTTTTGGAAATTGGTAAAAATTATGCCCAAAGATTCCATTAGATACATACACGCCAAGCTAATAAATGCATGTTAAAAAAAAAACCAAAACACAATCTGCCTCCTGTGAGGATTGAACTCACGACCCCTGGTTTATAAGACCAGTGCTTTGCCACTTGGGCTACAGTTTCAAGGTAATCAAACTTTTGGAAATTGGTAAAAATTATGCCCAAAGATTTCATTAGATACATAGACGCCAAGCTAATAATAGCGTGTTAAAAGAAATAAAAAAAAGCTATAACATAATATGCCCCCTGTGAGGATCGAACTCACGACACCTGGTTTACAAGACCAGTGCTTTGCCACTTGGACTACAGTTTCAAGGTAATCAAACTTTTGAAAATTGGTAAAAATTATGCCCAAAGATTCCATTAGATACATACACGCCAAGCTAATAAATGCATGTTAAAAAAAAAACAAAACACAATCTGCCTCCTGTAAGGATTGAACTCACGACCCCTGGTTTATAAGACCAGTGCTTTGCCACTTGGGCTACAGTTTCAAGGTAATCAAACTCTTGGAAATTGGTAAAAATTATGCCCAAAGATTTCATTAGATACATAGACGCCAAGCTAATAATAGCGTGTTAAAAAAAATAAAAAAAGCTATAACACAATCTGTCTCCTGTGAGGATTGAACTCACGACCCCTGGTTTACAAGACCAGTGCTTTGCCACTTGGGCTATAGTTTCAAGTTAATCAAACTTTTGGAAATTGGTAAAAATTATGCCCAAAGATTTCATTAGATACATAGACGCCAAGCTAATAATAGCGTGTTAAAAAAAATAAAAAAAGCTATAACACAATCTGCCTCCTGTGAGGATTGAAATCACGACCCCTGGTTTACAAGACCAGTGCTTTGCCACTTGGGCTACAGTTTCAAGTTAATCAAACTTTTGGAAATTGGTAAAAATTATGCCCAAAGATTTCATTAGATACATAGACGCCAAGCTAATAATAGCGTATTAAAAAAAAATAAAAAAAGTTATAACACAATCTACCTCCTGTGGGGATCGAACTCACGACCCTTGGTTTATAAGACCAGTGCTTTGTCACTTGGGCTACAGTTTCAAGTTAATCAAACTTTTGGAAATTGGTAAAAAATATGCCCAAAGATTTCATTAGATACATAGACGCCAAGCTAATAATAGCGTGTTAAAAAAAATAAAAAAAGCTATAACACAATCTGCCTCCTGTGAGGATTGAACTCACGACCCCTGGTTTACAAGACCAGTGCTTTGCCACTTGGGCTATAGTTTCAAGTTAATCAAACTTTTGGAAATTGGTAAAAATTATGCCCAAAGATTTCATTAGATACATAGACGCCAAGCTAATAATAGCATATTAAAAAAAATAAAAAAAAGCTATAACACAATCTGCCCCCTGTGAGGATCGAACTCACGACCCATGGTTTACAAGACCAGTGCTTTGCCACTTGGGCTACAGTTTCAAGTTAATCAAACTTTTGGAAATTGGTAAAAATCATGCCCAAAGATTTCATTAGATACATAGACGCCAAGCTAATAATAGCGTGTTAAAAAAAATAAAAAAAGCTATAACACAATCTACCTCCTGTGGGGATCGAACTCATGACCCCTGGTTTATAAGACCAGTGCTTTGCCACTTGGGCTACAGTTTCAAGTTAATCAAACTTTTGGAAATTGGTAAAAATTATGCCCAAAGATTTCATTAGATACATAGATGCCAAGCTAATAATAGCGTATTAAAAAAAATAAAAAAAAGCTATAACACAATCTGCCTCCTGTGAGGATTGAACTCACGACCTCTGATTTACAAGACCAGTGCTTTGCCACTTGGGCTACAGTTTCAAGTTAATCAAACTTTTGGAAATTGGTAAAAATTATGCCCAAAGATTTCATTAGATACATAGACGCCAAGCTAATAATAGCGTGTTAAAAAAAATAAAAAAAGCTATAACACAATCTGCCTCCTGTGATTATTGAACTCACGACCCCTGGTTTACAAGAGCAGTGCTTTGCCACTTGGGCTACAGTTTCAAGTTAATCAAACTTTTGGAAATTGGTAAAAATTATGCCCAAAGATTTCATTAGATACATAGACGCCAAGCTAATAATAGCGTATTAAAAAAAATAAAAAAAGCTATAACACAATCTGCCTCCTGTGAGGATTGAACTCACGACTTCTGGTTTACAAGACCAGTGCTTTGCCACTTGGGCTACAGTTTAAAGTTAATCCGTGGTTTTTTATTAACATATCTGCGTTTTACATAATTTTACTTATTAATAAGGATAATGGAAAACTGTTATCAAATTATTGCATCATCAGCTAAAATAAAAGCGTATTTTGTAATTTATTTAAAAAATTGTCTAAAACAAATTTGACCTCGGTCACCGTGGTAGTATATTCAGTGCTTGAAAACTCATTTTTTGAGCTCCTCAAGGAGCCAAATTAAAGTTAAAACCTTGCTCTACAAGATCCTGCAAAGTGTTTTGAAGTTAGCTTATTTTAACGCCGAAAAGCGATAAACTTTCCGTTTTCACAGACTGTAGGTAACATACAACTAATTTTGAAACGATATCGTCATGCTTGGACTATCACAAGGGAAAGCAAACAAAACTGTCAAACTTACAGACGTGGCACCCTCATCGTCCTTATTGTTATCGGCCATAAGCAGAGGTTGTGTCGACCTCGAATGCGGCATAATGAATGAGGTCTCCCAATTGTTCGAGGAACTGTCGGGAGGCAACAACTTTTCCACCGATGAGGTCGACTCGATCTGATCGGGAGTCGTGGGGGCCGTGTGATTCGGTATGAGGTAATCTGAGGATGTAGGTACCACCTTGAACAGAAAACACAGAAAACGAACACGGATTAGATAGGCGATGGAACGTTAGAGGGTTCACAGAGGTTCTCGAAGGTGCTTCACAACATCGTACGGACAAAACATAAAAAAAACAAAACGTCAATTTGCTGACTAGATGGTTCGTAGTGTGCGCTGTGAGCGTCAACAAAATCGTCCATCTATGGAGCAATGACTGAACGACACAACTATGCTGCAAGTTCCTCATCATGCTTTGTTGGTTGCAGAATGCTGAAATTTCCCAATACCTCAACAATTTAGAAATAAAACTGTATAGTATGTCAATTTGGTTTGTTTGGGAAGCGTACCCGAATCTGCAATAAAGTGTAGGTCTTTTTGTTTAAGAAAAATGTATGTGAGTCACCACCCTGTGGAAATAAACACCCTTAAAAAAATCGAAAAAAACTTGCGAAGTCCGCCACACCACAATAAAAAAAATCCATACGATACTTGAAAATGACAAAAAAAAAACATTTACCTGCAGACAGTTGTTCTCTTCGGATCCGCTAGGCCGCATGACAGTCGTGTCTCGTTCGTAGGGAGGCGGTCGTTGGAAGACTGGCAACGCCGCGTTCATCACTTGCGGATCTTGCGCGCAGTACCCTAATCGTTCGAGGATGGTGCCGAAGTTGGGCCTTTGTTCAGGCGCGGGGTGCCAGCATTGGGTCATTATCCCATACACTGGATCTGAAAGGAAACATGTTCTCATATAATGGGCACCCCAAGGAAGTGTCGAAGTTCCCTGGGAATCCAGTTCCTTTGAGCTTAATGGCCGATCTCTGCTTACGACCGCGCAAGCCGCTTGGCGGCGTCTGTGACGAGCGTGACAGTGGATCGCCTTCTAGATCGACGCGAAGTGACCTCCAATATTCTAGATGCCGCTTTGTGGTTCACCAGACCTTTCTCGAAGCAACGATGCGCACTATATAACTCGGCGGCCGATAGATGGAAGCAGAGAGTACAGAACAGAGCGGAGTGGAGTATAGTGCAGTCAATGGCGACATAAGAATTAGTCATATCAAGTTAAATAAATTAGTGCATTTCTTTTTGTGGAATCCAGTGTTTCAATCCGCACCCAAAAGAACCCAGAAAAACGCTACAGTATTTTGAAATTTGGTCGACATTTTTCAATAAGGATCATGACTCGGGGTGAGTAATCCTCTTTTAATACTTCTGCATGCAAGGTTTGAGATGCTTTAGTTTTGTTTTGTGTGCGAAAATTGCCTTTAGAATTTGGATTTAACGTTCACTGTTCGATATTGGTTTTACCAAAAATTGATCACGTTACATCCAAAGATATTTAAAGGACTTCGTAAAGTCGTGAAAATTAAAAATTCTAGTATATCTAAATAATCATTAAATTAATCAAACAATATTTAATGCTAAAATATGTTTGTCTTTGGAGAGGAAGTACAATGGTTGTACTTGCACACAAAAATATTTAATTATAACAAACGTTTTTTCAAAGAGTGAAACTAGCTTTAAAAAGTTAAAAACGACTCACCGGTTACAAAGTCATGTTAAATAACCGTTTTGTAACTTACGGCCATTTTTAAATACGGCGTCCAAGCGATCACGATTTGTATCGCGTGACCCGATTTTTTGTATACTCCTATAGGTGCGTGATAACGCCCTGTATTCAGACTGAGAGGACGTATAAGAGAACACGTGACCTTATTGGCTATTCCCAGACTATAATACAAGTTATATACGAGGGTTGTCTCAAAAATAAGGTTCCCACATTTTTTTCGACACATTTTTTATTCGAAAAAGCGGATTTATCATTGGGAATGTTGATCTTCAAGCTATGCAGTTGCAGGCAGCAGTTGCGAATTTTCTAAACGGAGAGGCGTCGGAGTTCCTTGAGGAGGGATTTCAAAAGTGGATTTCACGTCTAAAAAAGTTATGACGTTGGAGAAAAATAGCTTAATCAACGGTTCAAATTTTGAATTCGCTGAATCAAATGAAAAAATTCCTTGTGGCTGAAAAAAATGTGTAAACCTTATTTCCTAAACAACCCTCGTAAATTTCGCCGCGTCAGCGATTTGACCGTGAAGTAAAACGATTTTTATTTTTTTACGAGAAAACGATGCGTCGGACGATAAAAAATAAACAGATCGGATTTGCTCGGAAATGAATGAAGATTTGAACAATGGTTTATATTTAAATAAAACTCTGTGGCGTACCATTTTTTCTGCAAAAAATATTCAATGCAGAATCCGCACGGACGCCACTGGTAGAAATAATAAAATTGTTTGTACATCATAAAATGCAACCTCAGTAACACAGTTATTATAAAATACAGTTTTTTTCCTCGAAACTATCGCCCTGTGTTTTATCCCTTTATGGCGTACGTTCATATTAATTTTTTCCTAAAATGGGTCCAAAGGTCACCTCCTTGAAAGAAACACCCTGTATACGCCCGCTCGGGAAACATAAAACCCTCCTTCAAAGGCATGTAAAAAGTGGCTTCCTCCGATGATCGATCCCCTTAAAGAAATTCCGACAAGCACCCATCTCTAATTATAAAAGAATTAATAGTTCAAAAACACGAAGAAATTGTACCATGAGTATGATAACAATTTTAAAGAATTCTTGCGCACCAAAATAGTTCTAATGGCTCATTACCTGGACAGTTAGCTGGCGGATCCAACCTGCCTCCGCTAGTAACCAACTGCATAACATCCCTGTTTGCACAGCCTGTATACGGCATGTACCCCATGGACATAATTTCCCACAGGAGCACCCCGAACGACCAAACGTCCGTTTTGCTGGTGAAGATTCCGTCCAGGAACGCTTCGGGAGGCATCCATTTTATGGGAAGCATCGCCTTACCACCTTTTCGGTAGTAGTCAGATCTGGAAACAAGTATAAATCATAGCAACAATCTATTACAATTCAAGACTATTATATCTTTGAGTGGCTGAACAGACTCTTCTGTATCTACTAACAAAAAAAAGTTATTGAAATTTTTCTCACCTATAAACATCCCTAGACATTCCAAAGTCGGCAATTTTAACAACCCTTCCTGGGCCCTTGGTTGTCAATAAACAGTTTCTTGCAGCGATGTCCCTGTGTATGAACCTATTGTCTTCGAGGTATTTACAGCCCTTTGCTACGTCTATTGCTATCATTATTAGGTCTTTCATTGATAGTGGACTAGGTCTTTCCTGGAAAAAAAATCTATACATATCTGCAATCTAAATGAAAACTCGGTATCCGATTAAGTTTTTACTAGAATCAACAGGTGGACTGAAAAGACTCAGGTTCTACTGTACAGATCGAATGGCGATCACACTCACCATTTCTTGAAATTACACGAATTCTCTAGTCAAATAATAGGCGCATTCACCATTTTTCAAATAAGATTGACCGGATCGACAAGCGATCGCATTCACCATATCTTGAAATCACACGAATCGTTTTCGTCAAATAATCGGCGCATTCACCATTTTTGAAATAAGATTGACCGGATCGACTAGCGATCGCATTCACCATATCTTGAAATCACACGAATCGTTTTCGTCAAATAATTGACGCATTCACCATTTTTTAAATAACATTGTTCAGGTCGACTAGCGATGACATTCTTCATTTTTTGAATTCATACGAATGTCACTTTCTTCAAATTTTCTTTGCACAATGTATCAAGTTTTGCTCACGTATAGGTGATTATGAAACTTTAGTTTGAAAAGAATCTTCAAAAAACCTTAGATCATCTGAAGATTTAACTAAGACTGTCCAGATCAAATAGTGAACACATTCACCATTTCTTGAATTCATATGAATTACTTTCCTCAAATAATTATCGCATTCACAATTTTCCAAATAAAACTGTTCAGATCGAATGGCGATCACATTCACCATTTCTTGAAATTACAAGAATTTTCTAGTCAAATAATAGGCGCATTCACCATCAAATAAGATTGACCCGATCGACTAGCGATCTTATTCACTATTTCTTGAAATCATATGAATTACTTTCCTCAAATATTACGTAGTCATGCCATAAGTTCTGTCCCTCGTTTTCAAACAAGTGTAGACCTGTTAATACTTGTCCGATTGTTTACATTGTGGTGTCAGTTGATTAAGCGCTTTTCGGGTAATTACATATACCTCAGTTTGTATTGATCTCTCGAAGCATAACGATGGAGTGGGGCAAGGCAGAGAACCGTATTGCAGTGATAGCTTTACATAAGTGTAATCACAGTGCTAGTCAGATTTTTGAACTCTTACGCGGCCTTCAAATATCGCGTAAATTTGTGTCTAGGACCATTCAGCGGTACAATGAGACGTCCTCTGTTGATGACAGGCCAAGAAGCGGAAGACCTCGTCAAGTAAGGACTCCAGCAGCCATCAAAGCCGTAAAAGCCAGGATTCAAAGGAATCCACTCCGGAAGCAGAAGATCCTATCCAGGGAAATGAAGATTCCTGTCCGGACGATGTCGCGCATCATTAAACAAGACCTAGGGCTAGGGGCTTACCGGAGACGTACGGGCCAGCGACTTACGGCCACCTTGCGACACATCAGGGCGACAAGATCCAAGAAGCTCTTGGAGAGGTACGCAGCTGGGGGATTCCGAAAGATTTTGTTCACGGATGAGAAAATCTTCACCATAGAAGAAAAATTCAACCGACAAAATGACAAAGTGTATGCAAGGAGTTCACAGGAAGCTTCGGAGATCATTCCGAGAGTTGAGAGAGGCCACCACCCTGCGTCAGTCATGGTTTGGTGGGGGGTGTCCTACGAAGGGGTCACTCAGCTCCATTTCTGTAAACAGGGCGTGAAAACAAAAGCGGCAAACTATCAGAGCGACATACTGGATCCTATCGTCAAGCCTTTAAGTGGTACATTGTTTGCCAACCAACACTGGGTCTACCAGCAGGATTCCGCCCCCGCTCACAAGGCTAAGAGTACGCAGCGCTGGCTGGAAAGCAATGTGCCAGAGTTCATTGCTGCGGAAGATTGGCCCTCAGGGAGTCCGGACCTCAATCCTTTAGACTACAAGTTGTGGGACCTGCTAGAGCAGTTGGCCTGCTCCAAAGCCCACCGTAATATCGAGTCCCTGAAAGCGGATTTGATCCGATCAGCGGCAGCTATTCCTTTGGAAGCTGTGCGTGCAGTGATAGATGAGTGGCCCGCGAGATTGAAGCAGTGTGTGAAGGCCAAGGGGGGACATTTTGAATAAAACTGTTTGATTATGAATTCTAAAAATGTTGTCGAATAAATAATATCTTTCATATAAATATATCTTATCTTGTTTCATTTTTATCATGAGATTATCATGGGACAGAACTTATGGCACGACTACGTATATATTTATTTCCAAATAAAACTGTTCAGATCGAATGGCGATCACACTCACCATTTTTTGAAATTACATGAATTCTCTGGTCAAATAATCGGCACATTCACCATTTTTCAAATAAGATTGACCGGATCTACTCACGGATCACATTCACCGTATATTGAAACCACACGAATCGCTTTCGTCAAATAATAGACGCATTCACCATTTTTTAAATAAGGTCGTTCAGGTCGACTAGCGATCAGTTTCCTCATTTCTTGAATTCATACGAATGTTACTTTCTTCAAATTTTTTTTGCACAATGATTCAAGTTTTGATCACGTGTAGGTGACTATGAAACTTTAGTTTGAAAAGAATCTTCAAAAAACCTTAGATCACCTGAATATTTAAATAAGACTGTTCAGATCAAATAGCGATCACATTCACCATTTCTTGAAATCATATGAATTACTTTCCTCAAATAATTATCGCATTCACCATTTTCCAAATAAAACTGTTACGATCGAATGGCGATCACACTCACCATTTCTTGAAATTACATGAATTTTCTAGTCGAATAATGGGCGCATTCACCATTTTTCAAATAAGATTGACCGGATCGACTAGCGATCACATTCACCATATCTTGAAATCACACGAATCGCTTTTGTCAAATAATTGACGCATTCACCATTTTTTTAAATAAGATCGTTCAGGTCGACTAGCGTTCACATTCCCCATTTCTTGAATTCATACGAATGCCGCTTTCTTCAAATTTTCTTTGCACACTGAATCAAGTTTTGCTCACGTGTAGGTGATTATGAAACTTCAGTTTGAAAAGAATCTTCAAAAAAACCTTAGATCACCTGATAATTTAAAAGCTAAGTGTCTCTCAAATCAAACTTAAGTTTTCTTTTGATAATAGTCGAACTAAGATTACACATGAGACCCTGTATATTTTTGAGCTTCAATACTTACTGGTTTAGGCCTGGATTCTCTGAGGAAATTCTTCAAGTCCCCTCCGGCCAAAAGTTCCAACACGATGAACCTTGGATGTTTCCCGAAGCACACTCCAATAAAGTGTACGATATTCGGATGGTGAAACTTTGACATGATCAAAGCTTCCATGAGAAAGTCCATTTCCGCTTGCGAGGTGGACATTTCCGGTAAAGTTTTTACAGCTACGGGCATTTCGACTGTGTCGCATGGTCGTTGTCGGTAGAAACCTTGGTACACTTCGCCGAAGGCTCCTTGTCCTAGAGCCCTGAGACATACGATGAGATAAACGCTATATTTTGAATGTTGAAGTCGATAGGTAAAAGGTGTTTTTTGAAAATAATGTCTTACACACAATTTTGCTCGAAAGGCTTGACAAAACTGTGAATGCTACATTATTATATCCTACATAACCGTGAATTATAATAAGACGTGAAAATATCAAAACCCCGAAATACCTGGAATACAATAGCGTCTAAAATTAATAGGTAAACATTTATTTTAAACACAATTCTTAGAGACAGGATTTAAAAACTTAAATCCAAGGTCACTCCATTTGCAATTCTTTGGCACTTGTTAAAACTCATATTAGAAATCTGCGTCCAAACTTATTCCAGCATAAAGAATTCAATTTGCCTTTAACAACATCAATATAAATCAAAATTTTCGCTCAATAATTTATTTTTGATACTTACTTGACCAATCGCAGTTGGTCCCTTGGGATGTCCTTCAGATCCTTTAACGTATAAACAACGCCTCCAAATTCATAATTTGGATTATACTCGGTCATCATATTGTCAGATCCGACTCCTCTCAATCTGTCCAGCTGAACGTCTGCTCCAGAAATGATTTTCCTTCTTTTCATTCCGGACACCTTCAACTGATACCTGTTATCTGAAACATCAGAATAAACTTAAAAAAATACTCTCAAAAATAAGTCGGAACTAGAGATGAAAAGCTTTAATGTCTAAGCACAAAATAGCATGATCGTAATTTTTCTTATCTTGTCGATGTCTTTAAAATGTCAGCATACTTACATAGTATGAAACACACTGCTGCAAATGCGGCTATCAGACAGAGGATTGTCACAATAAGTCCAACAACGAACCATTTTGGATAAGGCTCTACCACCTGGGTTATAGTTTCAGCTGAAAAACGAAAGATTATGAGAATATGGTGAATAAAAAGTATGCTACGAGTTTTACCTATACAAGTTTTCTTATCGTCGTTCAACTTCCAGTTGTGAGGACATATGCAAGTCACCTCGGACCTCTCGGCGTCCAAAGCGACACATTTGTAATCGCAGTTGCACCCTTTCGTATCAGGGATGATGACGACGTAACCGGATCCTGTATGGTGGCTTCCTTTGGCTTCCGAAAGCCTCATCATTGTCTTTGTCGGGTCTATGTAGGAGTATCCGCCTTCGCCGCTGGTGGAGTTCACCGCGGGCGCATCTCCGCCTGAGTATCCACCACCACCTGAGAAAGAAAAGTGTCAAGTAGACGCGAACTTCTTTTAAAATGGACTATGCAAGGATCTAGTTAGATCTAGGGCGTCTGTTCCTGGATAGATTCTAAAAAGAAGTATATAGCAAACGTTGACAGTAAACATATATAACGAAAGTCTTAGAATTTATTTTACTAAAAACAAACAACTTTAGCATAAATTATGCACTGCAGTTTTAGAAATACATATTGCTAAAAATTCTGGTCATAACTTTGATACTAACCTCCTCCATATTTGCAACCGCCTCCTCCTCCCCCAAATCCTCCGTCTCCTCGTTGATCGGTGGAGTTGTAGCAGGCTTTCCCGCCGATAGCGCCTGATAATAGAGCGCCACCTGTCATGTCTTTGTTCAGCGGAGATGTCAAACCACCCGTGTACATCGCCCAGCCCCCACCGGCTCCACCTCCGAACCTAAACAATCGCCATTACATTAAATAAAATTGCTGATGTCGGATAGCGACCGCTTGCGCCGTTTTTAAAGTATGAGCGACGTCAACTGCGATGAAATAATTAGCGCATCCACCACATTTCAAATAGGACTGTTCAGATCAAATTGCGAGACATTCACCACTTCTTGAAATCACATGACTCGCTTTCGTCAAATATCTAGTCAATTCACCATTTTTTTCAACTAAGATAGTATCGACTCGCGATCACATTCATCATTTTTTAAAATCTCGTATTACTTTCGTCAAACAATCAGCCCATTCACCATTTTTCAAATAAGACTTCAGATCAAATGGCAATCACATTCACCATTTCTAGAAATTACATGAATATTACTTTTGTCAGATACGTGGCGCATTCACCATTTTTCAAACAAGATTGTTCGTATCGACTAGCGATCGCATTCACCATTTCTTGAAATCACATGGAACATTCTCGTCGCCGTCACCATTTTTTGATGACATAATTAGACCGTGAGTCCATTCACAGTTTTTAAAAGATTGTGGATATTGAGTAGTACGCACGTCCACCATTTTTCGAAATTAGATCGTATAAAGTTGTAAGCTGATCCAACGTTTGTTAAAACAGGATTGTGCACGTCGAAATAGAAGTCGCATCCAACACTGTTTATTCATTAGTTGTGTTTTAGAGTAACACATTCACGATATTTATGTTATTAATAATAAGGTTATGAACATATAAAATTTCTTACCTCAAACCGCTAGCCTGTCCAGTATACGGTGGCCTAGACATGTTAATGGCTTGTCCATGTTGCAGCACATTCTCGATGCTAAATCTACCAATCCCAAGGCCTCCACCTCCTCCAGCAACAGCCAAAGGTACTTTTTCCTTCAGTCTATTAAACTGCAATTACAATTTAGGTGATAAACCACATGCAGAACATTCATGTAAATCAATGTAAAAGTGGCAATAGTGGCTCGATGCTGCCCGTCTAGTGATGTGAGTGTTTATAGCTCTTGGGCTGAGTATAAAAGGGTTGCGACTGGACTGGTTCAAATTCTACTTTGAAAATCGATATCTAAGGGTTAAAATACAAAATACAGAGTGTCTAGTGATATCAAAATGGTATTTTTAGCTCGAAAGACTAAAACTAGGTTTATCTATAAAGCGATAACTCAAGTCACTGCAGCCATTAGTTGCGTATTGATTAGAGGCAGCCATATATTTCTTACCATGAAGACAAACGTTCCACCACCGCCCCCTCCGCCAGTATCACTGACATCCATATTCAGGATGATCCTGATCGATGTTCCGTTGTTACTTTGAGAATGGCACGATGAGTTATTCTGCGAGCCCAGCATCTGAAAATATCAGAATTTTGAAAAAGCTAGATGACAAATGATTTATGACCATTTGAACAGATAACCAAAATTTCGACAATTTTTAGCCCAATGGACAAGGTCAAAAATCGATTTTAATTGAAGTAATCTCAAAATACTCTTCGGGCTATTGTAAAGCAAGGTTTTAAACTTTAGAAAAAAGTTATTGGGAACTTTTTTTCGAAATGAAACATAAAACCGAAAGAACATTTATAATCACAAGTCTGTAAAAAAATTGTTCAACAAAACTCTATCTTATCCCGAGTTTAATTTGTTTATGGATATGAGGCTGCATCGACATTTTAAAAATACAATTACCTTGATGCAGGAATCCATTCCTTCTTGTCCTACAAGCATCAATACCTCTTGACCTGACTGCAGGTTGAGTATAGTTCGAACCATGGCGCCTCTAGACGATCCCATTCCTGAACTGCCTTTACCACCACTTGCTCCAGCCAAAATGAATCTTTGAAACCAAATTTTTACATGAGTATATGCGCTTTCAAACAAAAGTGCTCGACAACTGTCTATATCTTCAACTAAAGAGATACGAGAGGCTGCAGAGCGAACCAAAATTTATAAAATAATTCTGAAAGGCAGATTATTGCACAACTTGAGAGCAATAATGTGTTAGCAAAGGAGCAATTTAGATTTCGGAAAAATAAAAGTACAACAGACAAGGGTTTTGTTGTCACCGAGATAAAATTCGACCCGAAAACTTCCAGAAATTACAACTATTATAGCATTACAATTAACAGTATTTCCGAAAGCTTGACATGAACATAGAACAAATTTTCTTTCATGCCATTTTTATAGAGTCTTTTAAGCTGCCTAGTCGATTCTGGTGCACCCTGTACGTTTGCAGACAAAGCTATGATATACAAAACAATATTTAAGACGAATAATAAATTTACTTATTTTTATTCTTAAATGAGTACTTACGTATAATATCCGCTTCTCGGCGCCACCCACTTCTGCACACCATCCAGTCCCGGTTCCTTCAAAACCCTAACGCTCACTTTGTTATTCTCGTATTCGCGATTACAGTCACTTTGCGAAGGCCCGTACCTTCCCTTCGCGCCACAAGTCGATATCTTGTAGTACGTTTTGTTCACAAAGTCTTGGTGGGTCTCTTTCACTATGTTCTGACACACCGGGTTCCAATAGTTGTAACCTTGCAGCTCCTCTTCCGGTATGTTCAAACCGAAACACTCTGGACTTAACGAGACGTCGTCTATCGCCACGTCGCTCATGTACCGCACGCCTTTCTTCGCTTCGAAGTGCAAGAAGTATCTGGAAAACGCAAAGAGCGCTTACAGCAAACGTACATGCCTAACAATGTAAACGAAATTATAAAAAATCATTTGCTCATATGACAAATAGATTATTTGTGCGAGGTAAATGAAGCCAAACAGCTAAAGAGCAAAGTGACAATGGAAGAAATAGCTACAGCATCCCAGTTGATATACTTCAGGATATGCTACAAAGCTCAGTGTGGCAAGACGCCTGGATCAGAAACACAAGAAACCTTTTAAAAACACCGAGAAATGCACATCTCTCTATTGAAATAATCAGCGCATACACCATTTATCAAATAAGATTATTCGAAACAACTAGCGATCACATTCACCAGTTCTTGAAATTACATTAACCACTCTAGTCAGATGATCAGCGCATTCACCATTTTTCGAATAAGATGATTCAGATCAACTAGCGATCGCATTCACCATTTCTTGAAATTACATTAACCCATCTAGTCAGATGATCGGCGCATCGACCATTTTTTAAATAAGATTATTCGGTACAACTAGTGATCACATTCACCATTTCTTGAAATTACATGAACCACTTTAGTCTAATTATTCGCGCATTCACCATTTTTCGAATAAGATTGCTCAGATCGCAACTAGCGATCACATTCACCAATTCTTGAAATCACATGAAACTCTTTCGTCAAATAAGTAGCGCGTTCACCATTTTTCGATGTCCTCCTTAGTCAAATAATAAGCCCACCAAGCAATCAATTTGTTTTAGACATATCTTGCCTAACAATACAATAGAATATTAATTAATGACTACCGTTAGCAGTGCTCCGGTTTTAGCACCTACTTTTCGAAATATAACATTTTTGGAAATTATTTTCATTATATCAAATTTCAAATATAATTCAAAAAAGTATAAATCATGCTTAACAATAATAATAAAGATCGTATGTTGCTCAACAGTTAAGGAAACCATTTATAGGACAATCCCAAAATAAATTAAACTAACAAAAATAGAAACCATACAAAAAGCAGGAGATGCCATCTAATCACTTTCTATTTATCAGTAGACCTAAAGCTTGTAAAATTAGTATATATAATATTTTCGAAAGATTTGTACGCAGAGATAAAATGCTTCACAGTAGACTTACCTACAGGATATATTAGGCAGAATAAACACCTGTCTAACCCATTGATCGCCAAAGTCTCGATAGCTCCACAACATCTCTTTGGTAACGTTCTCTGAGGGACGCATTTCGGTAACTTGTAACTGGATTGAGCTTCGATGTTTGCCGGTTTTGTGGAGGTAGAAACGAATCTGAAATAAAGGCATCGAAAGGATTGGATCGTTTTTAAAAAAAAATATTTCGACAATAGCAGTTGATAGTTGCTAAGATTTCGCTCACGGGCGAAGCCTAGACCATGCAGATGAGTTGCTGAAAAGCATGAAACTCAATAAACAATCATTTCCCTAAGAACTTCAGAAGCACATTGCAATTTGTTTTATCGTCGTACTTACCGCGCAAGAATTATAGAACCTAGAAGACGAGTTTCCGTGCACTCTGGGCGGCGGATTGAAGTAGACGCTCCTCAACGTCGCCATAGAAGCAAAGTTCGCGTTCTCTTTCAGCATATTCACGAACAGGTACTTCCCAGTCGTGTTTCTGTAGGTGTGATCGTAGTTCGGGCCTGTTTGGTGCGTGGGCGTGGACCCGTTGTGTCTCGCCCATTCCAGCACTTTGATATCGATGTTCTGCCAGCCACACCAGTCGTCTTCGAAGGTGCAGCGTGCGCCGTAAGGCATCATGTCTGAAATTCAAATTATTTATGATGTATGTTTACATTCACATGTGACAAGCGACTAGACTCACCGCAATTCTGCGTCTCGTCATCTCCATAATCGCAATCCTTTGTGATATCACAAATGCTCGTGGTATTTATGCATATCTTCGTCCCCTTTTTGCATTTGTACTGATGCGGTGAACACGAATCATCCATGGTTTCGTAGCAGTGGAACAGCTTGATGTTATCGAAAGCGACTGTCGCCCCTTTGGCCATGTTTTCGCCTGGGACTACTTCCAGCATGATGGTGAAGTTCTGGGAGATTTGGCCCACGGATTGCTCGTAGTATGTCCACCTAAAAATGTAGAAAAGTTTGTTGTAAGATCTGAAATTTAATCTGAGCTTTCAATGTTGATAATCCCCGAATCAAAACCACTTACGTTTATGATTCCTCCTTGTTGAATTACAACAGCTGACAAAAATAAAAAGGTCAACTTTATAAAAGGTGGTACAGAAAAAAGTGAAGGGCAAATTCATCACTTTAAAATGAAAATACGTCTAGTCATACACGCCAGGCTAATAAAAGCGTGTTAAAAAAAAATAAAAAAAGCTATAACACAATCTGCCTCCTGTGAGGATTGAACTCACGACCTCTGGTTTACAAGACCAGTGCTTTGCCACTTGGCCTACAGTTTCAAGTTAATCAAACTTCTGGAAATTGGTGAAAATCTTAATTGGATCTAAATTGATTTTTTGCTCCGTATAAGGCCTTTAAAAGTTTTTTTGGATCATTTTGGTTCTTAAGAACTATTCTCTTTGGTTGAGGGTTTTTGAATGTGAATTGAAAATTTTTAATACAGTTTTTGAGGCAGGACGAAAATGCGTACTTTCTTGCGTCGTCTCCAGGTATAGTTTTCAAAATCCACTGTGAATCTTTCTTTTCTCCGATGATCTTGATCAGACCTCCTTGCATCTTCTCTTGGTGGATGTGTATCGCAAACTTGCATTTTGATATCGTCGGTGTAAAGATGGGGCTCTTCACTTGAAACTCGGTCGCTTCTTGGGGAAGACGAAGCAACAAAAAGCTCCCTGAACAAGAAAAAATCGGGTCAAGAACAACTCGAAAAACAGTTTGAGACACGATGTAAAAGTTGCGAAAGCCCCATTAATCAATCAATAATTCGGCTCCGTGCCAGGAGAGGCCGCTGCTTGTGCAACGTTGCCAAGTCAAAGCTATTCTTTTCACAAGTGTTTCTACTGGTGTATTGTATACAGGGTGTCCCAGATTCGCTTCTCCATACTGGAATTTCCCTTCCTGTTATACCTACAGCAACGGTTAAACAGGGAAAGTTTTAGGAACACTAAGTGCATTCGATAGCCGGCTTTAGATTTACGATCGGCTATTGGGTTTTGGAAATATCGGCGAAAAACCGAAAATGGCGAATTTCGTTTTTTGTCAGTGAATCCAAAACGATTAATTTGACAGCTATCAAAATATGACCCCCGTAACCTGCCCCAACTTTCATTTTTGTTATAGCTGCCATATTGGATTTTTTTATTTTTGAAAAGTGTATAAAATTTCCAGTCTAGTGATGTCTCACGAGTGCAGAAAAGATGGGAGTATACTCTATACTGTAGGTATAACAGGAGCCGAGATCCCTGTACGAGGGCTGTCCCAGAAGTACCCGACCCCACGAAGAGAACAAAAAATTTGTAAAAAAAAATGTATTTATTTTTCAACACAATCTCTTTTGAGCTCTATACACTTTTCCTAGCGATAATAAGAACTGTCTTGCTCCTCAAAATAGCCATTAACTGCCGGCATCACTTCTTCATCGATGGAAAATCTTTGGCCACAGAGCCATTTTTTTCAAGTTTGGAAACAGAAAATAATCCGAGGGGGCTAAATCTGGTGAATAGGGTGCAATTCAAACTTCAATTCGTTAATTTTGGCCATTGCAATAACGGATTTGTGAGCTGGTGCATTGTCTTGATGAAACAACACTTTCTTCTTAACCAAATGCGGCCCTTTTTGCTTGATTTCATCGCTCAAACGTTGCAATAAGTTCGCATAATACTCGCAGTTGATAGATTTACCTTTTTCAAGATAGTCAATGAAAATTATCCCACGCGAATCCCAAAAAACCGACGCCATAACCTTGCGTGCAAATGAAACGGTCTTCGCCTTCTTTGGAGCCGGTTGTCCTTTTTGAAGCCATTGTTTTGATTGTCCTTTTGTCTCGGGTGTGAAGTGATGGACCCATGTTTCATCCATGGTTATGAAACGACGCAAGAATTCTGCTTAGTTGCTGTGAAACTTCGCTAAAAACTCAATTGAAACATCTTCACGACACTGTTTTTGCTCGATCGTGAGCAATCGCGGCACCCATCTTGCACACAGCTTTCTCATGTCCAAATTTTCAGATAATATGCGATGTACCGCACTTTTTGAAATGCCTACTATGTCTGCTAGCTCGCGCACTTTCAGTCGACGATCATTCAGTACCGCTTTGTGAATTTTCTTCACCATTTCTGGAGTCGTCACCTCATTTGGTCGACCACTGCTACCCAATATTTTACTGTTGTAAACGAAGGAGCAGACTCACCCTGAGTAGAATACAGTTCAGCTTTTATATAGGTTGGGCTGAGGCTTTGAAATAAAAGTATTGTACTACATAACGATGACCAATTTTCTCCATTTTCATAAATTCACTGAAAACGTTCAGTATTGATGGCTGCCAAACTTGACACATATGCTTTATAGGTTGCATACTTTCTAATACAATGATATTTTTCAAACAACTGTCGCCATCTCTAGGTCAGGCCGGGTACTTCTGGGACCACCTTTTTTTTGCAATGAAGTACTTAGGCGTTCGTACAAAATTGACAGTCTGGCAACGTCGCCAGTCTGTCATTCTTCAAGCTAGAACGTCCATTTACATTTACGATTTGGATCAATGTATTTTTCCGAATTGTTGTGCATATTTTCATTCTTTTATAGATCATTCGGATTTTTCCACTTGGATTTCTGGTAAACTAATACACTAGTCGGCAAAATGAAGACTCCGGCAGTAGAATTGAAGGAACCTCTCGATTTAACGTAAGTATTCGCGATCTATGAACCTAACCCTATTTTTATCCCATAACTTTTTTCAGAAAACTCATGGACAAAGGCGTCGTCTTTGAAGTGAATACAAACGAAGAGGAAGAAGCTCACCAACTCGACGACGAAGATGTGGAATATACCAACAACCTTCTCAAATACCTCAATTTGGAGGTAGCCGGAGATGACCTCAAGGCAGAAGATACTTACGTCGAAGGGCATCCTTTCGAAAAGATTGCCTCGAATATGTTCAATTTGTTGGGTAATGGCAAGATTAAGAAGCGCGTGTTGAGGGAGGGCTACGGGCAGAAACCACCAGACATGTCCGTGGTCAGGGTGCACTATAATGGTTACATAGAGTACCAAGTAGAGCCGTTTGATTCGACCTATGCTAGAACCAAGCCCCATCAATTCACGGTAAGAAAAATATGTTACTATTAAGTTACAATCATTTATTCTGTAGTATATTTTGCCATGGAACAATTTCTCTAAGTTGGTTTTTAATTGGTTTACATCACATGTCATTCCTTGCATAATTGATCCCAGAAATTTCTGTTTTGATAATAGATCAAGGTTTGCAAGTTGGATTTTTAATGGCCATTAAGTTTCTGTGCTGTCTCAGCACAATCTTCTTTGTGCTGGAGTTGGAAACTGGAGTTTTTGAAGGCTTGTTTCATATGACATGGTCTTCAACTGCTAATTTACTTTTCTTTGAACTGTTTTAAGCATCTCGTGTTGTATGTTCCTTTTTAGTCTACGATAATACTATGTTTGCCAATGCTAACACAGGCCAACAAAATTTCCAAGATATCCTTAGCTAAAGGGTATACATCAATTTTTACTTATATTTAAAGTTATTTAGCATGGAGAATTATTATTGTTTCAAATAACTATAGGAATCATTTCAAGGTATAAGCCTTGCCTTTTCAGATGCATTGAGTTTGCTTAACTATCTTCCCTTTTTTGATGAAATATTGCACTTTGGAATTTCCGTATTTCTAAGTTTCACTGTGTATTACTCTACACATTATGACTTTTTCATTTTTATCAATGGTTTGATGTGATTGTTTCAAGTTTTTAGCTACATTATTTAGGAGAAATCTGTCAAAATGTTATTTCTTCAATTCAGACACATTCTTTTTTTTTTTTTTTTGATGAAAATGGAAATTTTGCCTCAAGAAACGTTTGAATTTTTAGGCATCTATTTGGGGAAGAATTTAACAAATTCTTGCATAAAAAATATTTTTATTTTTTTGGGTGATTTGGGTGCATAGATGATGATTGTGAAACATCAATAAATAATTTTGTATAACTATACTAAGTGACATATAAATCCGAACACCCAGTTTAAATGGTTTTATTTTAATAAAATTTTGTATAAGTACTTAATGAAGCATAATAAGTAAATGATAAAAATTTCAAAATGATTGCACTGCTTTAAAGCCCTTTGACCTTTAATAATGTGTGGATGCACCCTAATGTGATACGCATTCTCCAACGTGGCTAGTCATGCTTCTGATCAGGTGGTGAATGTCCTCCTGTGGTATCTCATTCCATGCAACCACCAACTCCTCTCGATATAACGCTGCGCGTTCATGTTACCTCTGATGAAGATTAAAGGTGACCTGGAACCATAAGCTATAGCACCCCAAACCATAACTCCAACAGTGTGATGAACATGTCTTTCAACAAAAAAACTGGATTCCTCCTTTCACCACGTCGCCTTCTAACCCTGGCACGACCATCGTGCATGCCTAAACAAAATCGAGACTCGTCACTAAAGACAATACTGTTCCATTCCTGATCCCAGAGTGACCGTTGTCTGCACCACTCAAGGCGATTACGTCGGTGTTCTCGAGTTAAAGGGAGGACCCAGTGTGGCCGGTATGAAAATAAGCCAAAACTTAGGTCTTCCGTGTTCTGCAAACCATTCATTTGCAATGGACCTGGTAGTGGAGAAACGGTCCCTTGAGGCCAATAATCTTAGGCGGCGATCTTCACGGTCTGTTGTTCTACGGCGGCGTCCAGTGCCCCTTGCTCTTTGCGTACGGCCTTCTCGAAGCCATGCCTGACAACACCTAACCACAGTGTCTACACTTCTTTGCACTATAACTGCAATTGCCCGAAAAGAAAGTCCAGCTTCCCGAAGTCCCACTATACGGCCCCTATCAAACTCACTAAGTTGACGAAATCGTACAGGTCTCCGTACTCTAGGCATCGTAACCGATCGTAAAGGATGTCAAGAACCAAAATCCGCCAACGTTGATTCTTTACTGCGGCTGAAATATTCATTTTTAGAGCGTTAGTGAATTAAAAAAAAAGCAGTATAAAAGCCGGAATGTCCAACTGATAAGGCTGAACATTTTTTCACTTGTTATTTATAGTAAGATAAATACATTCACCAACTTTTATTAAAATAAAACCATTTAAACTGGCTGTTCGGATTTATATGTCACTTAGTATATAATCTAAATAAAATCCTGTTTCTTAGAATTCTATTTCCACTTCCGTAGGTGAACAACGGCGAGGTTTTGGTGGGCCTAGACCTAGCAGTGCAATCGATGAAACTAAACGAGAAGTCCCAGTTCATAGTCCACCCCGACTACGCTTACAGAAAATTTGGATGCCTAGAACGAGTGCCCGGCGACTCCGAGGTACTTTTCGAGATAGAACTAATCGAGATAATCGACTGCGGCGCCGCTGCGACGTTCGAACAGCTGCCCGAACAGGAACAAAAGGAATTCAAACACGTCTACGAATATTGCCTGGCGCTGTGCGCGAAAGGCAAGGATATGTTCGGCAAAAATATAAACGGTGCTACCAAGGAATACAACGCGGCCGTGTCGAAGTTGGAACACTGCTTCCTGGCCGACATGGCCGAGCAGGAGAAGCAACAAGAGTTGCTGATGAGGCTGTACACCAACCTTTTGATTTGCCACGCCAAGACCGATGAGCCTAAAAAGGGTTGCATCAATTTCAACAAGATCATGGATCTGGTCAAAGGCACGGATTTGAAAATACCGGCGAAATGTTATTACAACAATGCGAAGTGTCTGAGGATGCTCGGGGATTACAAGTTGGCGAAGAGACGTTTGGAAGTTGCTTATAGGGCGGAGCCGAAAAATCCGGATATTTTGAACTTATTGTTGAATCTCGAGGACGATATGAGGAAGAGCAGGAGAGAGGAGATAGAAAGAAGCAAGGCTATGTGTGGCATAAAGGAAGCCTAAAAGATTTATCCGTTTGCTTTTCAGATAGTGTTAGTTTGTAAGTGTAAATGTCATAAATGTAATTTTTCTGGACTCTGAATATCTTCATTTCAATATTATCAAACTTCTAGGTTTATGATATACTAATAACAAGGCATCAGACTTGAATTGTTATAATTTGTTTATTTCTTGATGGTCTATTTTAGGAACAAACGATCCCTTTTTTTACTCTCAGTAACTCAGAAACAGAGCTTATTTAGTTATTTGTTTTTTTTTTAAATACCGGGTGAGTTTTTAGAGTGGGGTCAGTTGATATCTCCGCAGTTACGCATTGAAAAAAACATTTGAATTCAAAAAATTGTAACACTCAACTTTGATTACTAAATTTTTGAAATGACCTAATATTTTTCCCTGTCTAGCTAGTTTCTCAATTTTTTGGATAGAAGATGACAGAAGAACTATTTCTCAAAATTTTCAAAAACATCCTGTAAATTTCTACATTATTTGATTCCCCTTTTTACATACCTTTTTTTATCAGATTTGCAAGGGTTTGTTTGTTTTTTTTTTGAGTTACTAAAAACATATTTTACCTACAAATAAGTAGCATATTAATTTTTAGGTATTTTTAATTTACGAGAATAATTTTTTTCTTTTTTATTTTCATACATACGAAATATGTTTTAGGTTTTGCATTATGTTTTTCTCTACTACTGTTTGTGGAAGAGAATTGAGAAAACGCGTAGACTTTCTACTTAGAAACTGAAATAATAATCAGTTATTAGTCTTAGCTTAAATGTTTGTATTGTATATTTTTCAATAGTAAAGAATAGTTCTTAAGGTTATGTTAAGTTACGCCTGTAAGAGGGAAAATCAAAGGCTGTGTGAATACGTTAGTATTTTCTTATAGGATCTTTCCTAATTATTATTTTTGAGCTGAAATAAATGTTATTTTCACTTCGTTTTATTTAAGTTTTAATGGCAAATTCAAAATCTACAAAATGGAAGCGCCAAACATGTACTCTTCTACAACTCCCAAAATCCTGTTTTTAACCACTGCAAATATTTGAAAATGACAGTAAACGCCAAAAAACGAAGTTCGAGCGATTTTTGACGTCCTGTGCCTTTTTCTCCGCTGCCAAAAAACATAAAATGTCATCTTACAAACTGTAGTTTTTACGGTGCAAGAAGTCATTCCACGTTTGCTCACTAGGATCGTTGTGAGCGTTCATCTACGGAGGAACGACTCGACTACACGCATTGTTGGTTGCATATATTTTGTGAAGCCGAATAGTCTGTAGTTTTCATCTCTGAGAAGAAAGTTGGTTGAATAGCAAACTCGCAATCTCTCTCATTTTTGAAATTCATCAAATTTGCATATGTAATTTCCAGAATGGATAAGAAAACGCGCAACTAATTTCTCGCTTCGAATCTCAAGTAAATACATTTGAGACAAGGATTCAAAGGAATTATCATCTACAGATATTATTAGCAAACAAATCCTCACTATGCATCTTACGCATTGCCGTTTCTTTCTAGCTATAGTATACAACCTCCAGTAATGCCATCTCTGAAGCAGATTTTACATCACATCAGTGCCAAACATTGGTAACTGAAGCATTATGACGCTTAGGCAACACGTACAACTACAAAACGAGTTCACTAGTGTCCATCAGCTAGTGCGTTGACATCTTGTAAAAAACTTACATAATGTGACAAAAAAAAACAATACAATGTAAAAAAAATGACAATGTCACTTTTGAAGATACGTAATCAGTCGTTTGGTTTTCAGTCGGTTCGACCTTTATATACCAGTGCGGTCCGATAAGTACTTAGACTACAGGGGAAGAAAATATTAGCTATCATGCCAGAATTGCTTTGTCTTGTACGATATTGTTTCAAGAATTATTTAGGTAAGAAAAAATGATTTCCAGCGTCGTGCGTCAAGGACTTGTATCTCCGAAAGGAAGGTAATTAATCTCAACATGCTTTGGTGAAACCCTGTATTCGGAGAGCTGTCACGAAGAACGAACTTACCAAACTCTCCGTTTTCTGCGTCCGTCCTAGGGCCGGTCTCGTTGGCCCCGACATTATGACCGGAAGCAATGAAAAATCCGTTCGCGATGTCCTTCCTCCACGACCACAGGCAGTTGTCTTCAAAATCGCAGTTGACGTTCCGGTCGAAATCCTGCTGTCTGGTGCGGATGTTGTTGAACAGTTGCACGATCTTGTCCTTGCGCTTGTTGTACGCTTGTTGGCTTTGCTTCGACTCGCCTGGAAACAAGAAATAATATCGTTCAAAAGTTTTCTGCAAACAACCCCTTATGCAGTTATAATTTGATTTTAAGTTACCTTTGTCGTTAAGAATAATTGTATTATTCAGACAATAAAGCATAACAGCACGACTATAATCAAAATCACGAAAGATTATTGTTACGTCATACCATAAATTGTACTGAAGTAATCAATGGACGTAAGTCGATGATAAAATGGCGATGTCAGGAACTTAATGACAACAACTTTCGAAGTTAGGTTATTTCACTGATTATGTTTATTTTCATTTTATTTCATGGTTTTGAGTGATACGTTAATAATAATTTGAGTGAGGAGTTTTTGTTTTGAAAAAAAAAACAGTTATGCGTAGAATACCTTAAGACAGGAACACCAAAGTATTACTAACAACCTAACCTGCTTTAACATAACCTAACTATTCATCTTTTAAATATGATCGATCATGCAACATGAAAACTTTGTCGGATACATGCTAATTAGCAATCCAGTTTGTTTAGACAATACAATTCTGTTTGAATAAAATGATGACGTAATCGTCATGTTTCGTGATTTCGACTATATCTATCAAATTCAAATCTCGATATTTTCGGAACGGAAAGCGATATCGAGTTGCATATTCGGGAGCTTCTGGACCAACTCTTTGAGAACACGTGCAGGGTTCGAACGGTATATTTCTTTTATTTATCTACGTATACAGGGTGAACAAACGAAGTGATGTTTTTTAGCAAAGTTCCCGGCTATGTTAGATTCTCAGTTTTTGATCTTTGAAATATATCTATGCATTTTTTCGAACTTTGGACTATACTAAATAAAGTGATATCTCAAATTTTTCGGAAGTTGACTATAACTCAAATTATCGACTTTTAAAGAAGTTTTTATCGCTAAAAAAGGGAGTTTCTCGCGAGAATAGGTATTTTTGCATTAAGTGGAATACCTTGCGCCTGAGAAAAGATTGAATTACTCATTGAACGTTATTGCCTCCAGTGGCGTGCAGTAAAAATTTGCTACTTTGACATTATGTAATTTAAACCGAATTTATAAATTGATGAGGTGTGCATCTTTTTTCGCTTTAAAAACTATGAACCTCTTTTAAATATGCTTTGTGTGCTTGCTGTAGAACAAAACCTCAAACGTAGATTTACAGTTAACCGTGAAGCAGCTTTACAAAACGATACTAATTGAGAGTCAAAGTATTTCGCAAGAAAGTCGTTTTGTTAATTAGTCACTCGTGAAATATTTGGAGAGATATTGAATTAACGTATGAATGATGATTATAAGCTGTCCGTAATTATTCAAGTTTCAATAGAAGCTAAAAGATTTATACATAACTGATGCTATTCCGGTAGATTTATCGAGTATCTGCTTATAATGCGGAGTACATAAAACTTTTAACGCTCTGGCTGAATATCAACAATCATTTTACTGATGTGATAATGAATTCAGCATATCGACACTTTTGAATTTAAAACGCTTATTTCGAATTTGATGATCATGAAAAAATAAGCCACATTTAAGTGAAAAACATTGTCCGAAATTTATTGTTTTGACAATTCGCTGATAAATTTCGCTCGTTTTCGAACAACCACGATTTCCACACATTTTTACGCCAAACTGTAGGCCACTTAAATTCCAAATTGGGGCCAAACGAAAATTAGACAAGGGTGAAAGTTACAAAGGGAGCAAGGATTTGCGGAGAGAGGTTTCCGTCTATACGAGGGATGTCTGAAAAATAAGGTTCGCACATTTTTTTCACGAACAAGGAATTTTTTATTTGAAAAAACAAATTTATCGGTAAATCGGTACACCTGGATGTTGCAGGTAATGCTTATATTTACCTTGTTCATATTCTACCAAGCCCAGCTTAGCTCCAGTTTCGTTAGGTTCCAGTCTAGGATTTGCGTCCGCTGCCATCCATTCCTTTTCTTCTTTTTTCTTCTCATCGTTCAGCTTTTTCCGTATCGTCGATATACTTCTTTCAATAGCGTTCCTTTTACTTCTAAAATAGCTGAAACCAAACAGATCAATTCATCGTTTTCTCCGAATGAAAAGGTTCCTCAAGGTACATACAGTCAAAAATTTCTACTTAATGCATTGTTGTAACATTTCAGTTTCAAAGCTCTTGCTACTCGAAATTGGTGATTCAAATTCCATCCATCAATCCTTCATCCCAAAAATACAAATTGTGAAGTCTAACACGTACAGTGATGCAACATTTCAGTTTCAAAAATTTCCCAAAACCCTCAGCCTACGATTTGTTTTGAGTGTTGATCTTTAGCCACGTCTTTTATAAAAACCTTACGTCTTCTAGATTGGAGCTTCGATTTCCATCATGGGTTTGCTTGATATAAAAAAAGCTAAACAAAAATACAGGGTGTTTTCAAAGTTGATTCATTTATTTTGACAGCTTGTAGAACTAGTCAAAAGACCAAAAATCATCTATATAAAAGTTGCATGTATATTGTAACGTCCTCGTATGACTGGAACTCTGGGTACCAGCGAGACACCTTCGCACATGAACGAGCAGACTCGGCAGGTGTCCAGAAACACGGACGCTTAGGCAACCAGTCTTACACGGCTGTGCGTGATCGATTGCGGCGTCATTCAGGAGCTTCGATCGGAATCGGGAGCGTTCGAGCAGTATCGATAGCCATCTCGAGCTGCAAGTGTTGATATAAATGGTCTTTTGGTTAAAATATTCGTTTTCTTACCGGATCCTAGCAATATCCCGCCTGTTTCCGAAGATATCTCGGAATACATCGTCATCTCTGAAGATGGCGAGCTGCGTATCGTCTGTCGTCGCGGCATCTTCGGTTTTTGCGTGTTGCAGAAGGAAAGATAGCAGAAATGGAAGTGCGAACCTCATGGCGAACCAACGTCTGCGTCTACGAATTCTTGGTTGAAGTCTTCGGAAGACGTATTCTGACGCGTGGAGTGAGCATTATTGGAGATTTTCTTGCCGGATTCGTCTGAAAGTATAAAAAATGATTTTCATTATTTGACACGAATAAGATGATAAAAATATAGGATATTGGAAAGGGTAAGAAATACGAAAAGCCCTGATATTTACAATTTTTGAGAAGCGTTTTTAAAGGATTTTTTTATCAATCTATATCACGTAATATGTTCAGTATCACCGCATTAAAATCGGAAAGTAGAGACTTATTAGCTATACCCTGTTCATCCACAATGAAGGAATGCTTGGTTGATAATATTTTGAAGCAAATGACTGATGACTTCAAGGCTTACTTACGAAATACTTTTTAATGATCTCACAAAATTAATGCATGACATTTTTAATATCTTAGAGGGTGATTTTTTGTTAAGAAATATGAAAAAAGTTTCCGTAAACATGGGTCGAGAAATGCAGAGATTTCGAGATACGAGGTGATAAATAAAAAAAAATATTATCTTAAAAAATATTTATTCGATTCTGTTAAAATATGGCGATATCTTTTGCTGTAATAGGAGATTAATTTAGCCCTGAATATATTGAAATTATCAGGTCCAGTGGCGTACTTGGGGGCTCCTCAGCGAATATTATTGGCAAAAAAATGTAGGCCACTGCCTTTTTTGGACCTTTAATATTTGTGGTTTGATTAAGCATCTGAAAATACAACTCCTTTGTCTCTTGCTTTTTTTCGTATCTAACTTCGTTTTCGAGAAAAAAATAAAACCTGTTTTATTGCATGTTACTGGACAAAATTGGTTTATTAATCCATGCTAAAAAAATCGCAAGTGCGAATTTGGAATCCATTGACCCCTCCAAACAATTCTTTCACCATGCTAAAAAATTATCAGAAGCTCGAAAAACTGCTCATAATTCCATCTACCACACACGTCGCGATTACAATCCTTCCTTGCGGATTTTAAGTAAAAAGAAACGTATACTGATGCAGCTTCTGCCTTTGTCAGTATTATTTGTTTTAGTTGGTCGTATTTCCAGAACGGTTTTTGAACCAAGCCGTTCTATTTCGGTCGGTGGCAACAGCACAGAGATACAGAAGTCGAAAGCCTTGCGGCCACAAATCACGGCCAATGCAGATTAACTACAGGAATGTTGGGTCTACACCATTTTAGAAACTTCCGAGCGTGGAGAACGATTTTGAGCAGGTGGCGGGGCATTATTTGCAGCCGTTGCCCGACAATTTATAGTCCGGGAAACGAAGCTTTCGATTCGGAAGGATGTTTCGTTTCCTAAACCTAAAAAAGTTTGCGGACACGAGATGGTCGTTCCAGAAGAATCTTCGCGACCCGTATTTGAAGCAGTAGTATACCACAGAGAATCTGAACTTTATCTTTAAGATTCCAGTCAATAATAGCACGGTAGACGTTCTTCTTTAGACTTGCGCGCATTTAAAGGTGGCGACAATTTGCCATCCCACTGGTCAGTTACAGTATTCGGTATCTCGCTTTGAATGGAGGACTTGCTTATAGGAAACAATAATAAAAACAGCTTTTGGAATACTTAACTGACACCTATCTAATGCTACCTAATTTTAGAGCTATGAAACTTCTCCTCGTTTGAGTTTGATTTGAAGCAATCCCTCATAGGTATATTCTAGGGTAGCTCCCAGATCATGTCGACAACAACGACAAAATACCCTTACGAATATCCTTTTGAGTTTTTAAAAGAGTCTGATTTATTTGCCGGGCTATTAAGACGGGTATATGCTTCTATGTTCAGCTGAAAATAGACACGCATTAGCGTTTCGCAGACGCCTATCGCCTAGAATAGACAATATTATTTATTAAAGCCTTCGCCAAAAGTACGAAACTTGATACTTCCGGAACTTTGCTCGATTCATGTCCCAGCAGACGAAAGATTGATGTAAAGCAGATGCAGATTTTGAGACACATACACATAGCTGTCTTTTGTAGTTAACATCAAAGATACTTTCAAAATCCTTGAGATTCAGTCACAATAACCATTAAAACATGACGAAAAGCTCATGATATATATTGTTGATCAAATGGGGGAACCTGCTCGGTTCGGAGCAAAGCGTTGGCTCACCAACCATGCTTGAATCCTTGCTCTTAACATTATAAAAGTTTAATACATATATTCTGTGACCCTTCAGAGAGGCTTTGCAAAGGAACAACTCTTCAACGGTAAGAAGGATTTATATAACAAGTAGGAAGCCTAACAAGGCTGGTCCAAGCAGCAAGGAAATGACAAACAGCAGATATCCTGGCAGGAATCTATCAAGTATAATTACCAGCGATTGGACGGCTTCCAGAAAAATCGGATATTTTCCGACGTTCATCAACCAATTCGCTGTTCGCGTTTCCTTGAAAAAGGGAAATTTATTTTCAGCCGAATCAAAACAAACGTAGTCGTGCAAGGAAGATATATTTCAGTTGCATATTTAACCAACGGTTTCGAAGATTGATGCGGTTAATTGAAAGATTGGTCAGTCTCACACGCGCACTTTTAGAATAAATTACCGCTCGGTACGATTCACTAGAATGCTGTTATCTTAAAATAGGTTGTAACACAGTATTTTGTTGATAGATCAATCTTGAAGCTATAATATTTATTTAAATTTGCATTTAGAACTGCGATGTAGTCTGGTCACACAATCTGAATTTTACAAGAACCAATTTTGAAGAGCTTTTTACTAACTGAGTTTTAAAAGATTGAAGCGTGGAATAACAGTCACAGTTTAGTACTAATATCATTGGTAACATCTCGAAAAACTGTTCTGGACATATGTTTTTGCAAGAAATAGGGTTAGCGGTATATATGATATGACTTAAGCTTCTTTTTATTTGCTTATTTTGGAAAATTACAACTCGATGAGTCTTTATGATGCCAAATGTTTAATTTGTCATGTTCTAATATTTCTAAGGAACCCGAGCAAAGCAGATTGCCTGGGAAAATCCAATTTCCCGTTTCATATCTAAACCATGAATCAGCGACCGTGAAAAAGTAGACTTATTCGTTGAGCTTTCTTCAATTATCGACAATCTGTTATAGCAAAATATCTTGTTTCAACAAAAAAATTAATTTTGCAAAATGCGGCCGCATGTGTGATTCCCTTTTTATACTATCGATACGAATACGTTTTTAAAATATTTAGTGTGTATTGGAGGGACTTTCTCAACCATAAAAATGAGGAGAGTTGAGTCAAGAGTGTTGGTAAGAAACAAGAAAATTCTTGAATAAGCGGATGATGCAGTGGTTAAACTGTATTCATGTGCAACCTTTTTTTGTTAGATATTGAATTGGTTTTTGGGTGCATATATTACATAAATATGAAAAGAAACAAATCAAATATCCTTTTGAAATGACCCGGACTGCGATTACACCGTATTGTTTGTAGGGGAAGATATGAATTTTGACTGTATTTACCCCAATAAGCATCTTCAGTAAAGAAAGCACGTTGGAAAACATCAATGATCTTTGAATTGTAATCAAAATTTCTTGCATTTGATTTTGGTTTGATTCGATCGGGCAAATTTTTGTACATATGTTCGTCAACATTATGAAATCTCGCGGTTTGATAATATTGATACATCCCACAATTTGAACCACGCTACGAATATACCGGAAACAACATGTTTGTTGCAAGGTCCACACTAAACTTGAAAATTTATTTTAATTTCTGGAGTTGATCCAAAGTGATCATAGTCGCACACATCAAAATTTGCGTCATTATTTCAGTGACAACAGTATTTTCCGTAAAATCAGGGCAAAACGTAGAGGTCAAATCAACAGATTACAACCCAGGGGCATATCCCTAGAAGCGGAATCTCAGTATGTGTATATGTGTAGATAAAAGTTAAATGTCAAACGGTAAAGCAGAGATGAAACCTACGCGTTTTTAGCTGAATCCAGGGTGGCCGGGCAAAACAAACGCGACAAGACAGCCTGTCAAAACGAGGGAGATGATCCTACCTCAAATTACGCCATACGCAGCTATCTAGATCTTCTGGGGCGAGAAACAGTTGCAAGTTCCGCGGGTTTTGTCACAGCACACTAGGATTATCTTACGGCGCGGTTTGCGACGAGAGAATTTAAATGTAAGAGTGCCGCGTCGTCGGCAAAATTGAGATCGTGCAGGTTGTGGAATCGCGACCCATCCTCTCTCGGCACACTTGATGGAGGCTGGCGGACGACGTCCGAAGGCGCGTTTCTATCGATTTTGAGATGAAATCGGCGGCCGGCGACATCTGGCGGGATGCTGGGCAGACGCAGCCGAACGACGTCGCGACGCGTCGTTGCAAAGGTTATTGGCGCCGCAACGCCGGGTATTTTTGGAACGCGCGGCTGAATTTTGTTTTGTTTTCGAGGAGAGGACCGCGATGCGAAAAGCGTGTCGAGAAGGTTGACTCAACCGGAGGTTCTGCACGATGTCGGAGATGTTAGGTACGATTGCAAAAATTTGTTTTTTTTTGTGATGAACCCAAATTCGTTTTCAGTCGATGCCACTTGGAGTTACCAAATCTGACAAGTCTGGTACTTTGGTAACCAACTTATTTCTCGCCTTGTTACGTAAATTGCTATCTCGTTTCCCAAATTATGCATTTTCGAAACGAAACATGACGTTTTAAGGTAACGTCTTTTTCACGACACGAAAGACGTCATTGGTCTCTGACTTACGCACGCCTTTTTTACGTTTTATATTTTTTATTAAAGTCATTATTTAGATGTTAATGAACTTCTCGTCTAAAATGAGGAGGAGTCATGATGTAGGAACCACATATTCTGTCTCACATTTTCTAATAATGGTGGCAGATTGTGTCGAAGATAATCTAAATAAATTTCCCCTGTCAGTCGAGGTGGAAAAAAGTAGGGTCCAACAAGCATATGCCATTAATTTTTAATCTTTTACTATTCCCTTTAATATGCAACAACTATAGTCGATTTTTGGTATATCACTTCCTTTTTACGAGTCCTACAAGCAGTTAAATTAAAGGACTCAACTTTGAAAATCCCTGTATAGTAATTCTTAGCGTTTCAACTGAAAATCCGGTGTTTTATAAAGATTCTTTATTATGAGCAAAAGCAAAATCAGGAATTTATTCTTCTCTCTCTCTTCTCTCCTATTTTCTTGTTCAAATTCTGCCCCATGACGTTCGAAAAAATTGTTATCGTCGTATTTCTATTCGGCGCATCAAATTACGTAGGTCTACCAAGTTTCATTCGTTTGTAATAACAAGAGACGTCATAAGAAATCTTCATAGCGAACTTTGAATTTGGGTCTCCATGTAAGTGCATTTTACGAAAAATTCATAAAATGTGTAAAGGCCCATTATCCGTACAAGAACTATTTGCGACGTTCACTCCTATGCAACTGGTGATGGTCGAAGGTGTGACGCTGGTTGCCTGACGCTGCTTCCTTAATGTAAACATAACCTTGAATTGCCTTTACGTTTTATCAACTTTTTTTCTAAAATGAATGCAATAATATTCTTTTATAGTTAGCGTGAAATAGTTCCGTGAACTTTGTTTTCGCAGTACTTGTAAGCAAAATACAGCGGACGTCCAAGGACATCATTTTGATGGCAGATACGAGACGTAAATATGGCCCTTTGATAGGGTCTATAGACGAAGGGACTTCTAGCACCAGATTTTTGGTAAGGAACCATTCATAAGTAAACACTTAGGGGTCCAGTGCACCCCATTTTAACAGCTTATTAACATGTTGTTTCAATAAAATAATGCATCAATATACAAAAATACAAATAGCAAAGTCAGGCTCAAAAGTTCCTGAATTGATACTTATTTTTCATTTGATTTCTTTATTTATCAATCAGAATCTATTTTAGTTTTATCTATGTTTATATCAGTACCACTAGCTTGATAATTCAGTTCTGCATAATAAATTGATTTTGCATTATGTATTAAAGGAAATTCTTTGCATGTATTTGTGATAAATCTGAATGTAGGCTTTAAACCTCCTACTACTTATTTCAGTATCAGAGCAGTTCATACATTTGCAAATGAAAATAGTTCAAATGAGTCATATGCTAATCAACAACAGAATATTAGCAATACATGAAACATAAAGCAATGTAATATTATGTATATTTACTATTGTTTGCTTTGAACTTGTGTTATTTTAAATTTTGTGCAGATATTGCTAATGCTGTACAGAATTAATATGTTGGAGCCAAAAAATAAAGGGAATATGACAAAAAAATTTCAATCCCAATATCTAACTTGAACAAACAACTATAAAATAATAAATTTACATTCAGTAGGTTGACTCTCCACTTCTCATCTTATGTTGATTTTTATATGATGAAAGGATCAGGGGTAATGAGAGGATTTTTCAGCTCTTAATACATCAAAAATTTCAAGGTGATACCATGAAATTTTGCACTTAATAACTTTATAAGATGAATCACATTGATATACAATGAATACTGAATTCTCATTATAATTGTGTATTTCTTTTTTCCAATTTTTTTTCATTGACAGCATAGTTTACAACACTTTTGATATATATGTTTTGTGCCTCAATGTGTTTTGTTACAGATTTGATCGCAAAGTTGCTCTAAAGAATAAAAAAGTGCTAGAATAAAAAAATGTTAATGACGGTTCTGAAATGTTTAAATAGTAAAACTTTATAGACGATATTGATACTTTTTTATTAAGGTTTGTGATTTGTTTTTCCAGGTGTTTGCCTGAATTCTCATTATAATTGTGTATTTCTTTTTTTCCAATTTTTTTTCATTGACAGCACAATTTACAACACTTTTGATATACATGTTTTGTGCCTCAATGTGTTTTGTTAGAGATTTGATCGCAAAGTTGCTCTAAAGAATAAAAAAGTGCTAGAATAAAAAAATGTTAATGAAGGTTCTGAAATGTTTAAATGGTAAAACTTTATAGACGATATTGATAATTTTTTATTAAGGCTTGTGATTTGTTTTTCCAGGTGTTTGCCTGAATTCTCATTATAATTGTGTATTTCTTTTTTTCCAATTTTTTTTCATTGACAGCACAATTTACAACACTTTTGATATATATGTTTTGTGCCTCAATGTGTTTTGTTACAGATTTGATTCCTAAGTTGCTCTAATGAATAAAAAAGTGCTAGAATAAAAAAAATGTTAATGAAGGTTCTGAAATGTTTAAATGGTAAAACTTTATAGACGATGTTGATCCTTTTTTATTAACGTTTGTGAATTGTTTTTCCAGGTGTTTGCCTCGAAAACAGCAGAGGTCCTCACTTTCCATCAGGTCCCAGTGCCTCACATCGTACCAAAAGAAGGTTGGTTTGAGCAAGACCCGAATGTCATATTGCAAGCTGTGATAGAAACTGTAGATGTAACTTGTGATAATTTGAAAAAGCTCAACATCAACTACGAAGACATCGTGGCTGTTGGTATTACAAACCAAAGAGAAACCACCATCCTGTGGGATCCTACCACTGGAAAGCCATTGTACAATGCTTTAGGTGAGAAATTCATTATCTGAGGATTCAAATTGACTCTAGAGTCAGAATTTATGCACCCGATTCACTAGAAGACTAGCTTTTATCTAGATTAATGATTCATGGTAGTGTGTGAAAATATTCTCCATAGGGAATCTCATAATATTGATGTGACTTTGTATTTATTAATACAGGTAGGAATCTCCAAGTAGCACAAATACCAACAGAACTGTGGAAGCCATTATCAAGTGTTTAAGTGTATATTATTGTATTCTTATATTCTTCAAAGCTGTGATGAATTTGAATATACTTTTCTCCTTAGTACAAGCATATTTCGTATATTGCACGGTTTTTGCAGTATGGATGGACATCAGGACTTCCAGCACAGTAGATGAAATTTTACAAAATGGCAAGAAGCCACAGAGTTTCTTGCAAAATCAGTGCGGTTTGCCTGTAAGCACATATTTCAGCGCGCTCAAAATAAAATGGTTAATGGACAACGTAGATGAGGTAAAGGAGGCTATTAAAGAAAGTAGGTGCCTCTTTGGAAATGTTGATTCTTGGCTTGTTTGGGTAAGCTCCAGTTGGTGCTGTTTTTTAATTTTCACTTCACGCTGTCTCTGATTCTTTTGACGTCTCGAATTTCGTGCTTTTTCAGAACTTAACAGGGGGTGTGAGGGGCGGTCTTCACATAACGGACGTCACAAATGCCTCGAGAACTATGCTGATGAACATAGAGACCTTAAAATGGGATCCGCAGCTGTGTAAAGTGTTTGATATCCCTATGCGTATATTGCCAGAGATAAGAAGCTCATCCGAAATTTACGGCTATATACAGAGAGTCACGAAATTGATGGGGGTTCCTATATCAGGGGTAAATATCTTTTGGCACTAGTTTAACTTGATTTTAAGTTCTATCTACATAGACCGTTTTTGTATAATTATTTGAATTAGAAGATTGAAACTGTAAACTAGATATTTCTGTTTTCTGAAAATATAAAAGGGATACATTTTTTCAGATTTTAGGTGACCAACAGGCGGCGCTTGTAGGGCAGATGTGCTTTAAAATGGGGCAAGCAAAAAGCACCTATGGAACGGGTTGTTTCATTTTATACAATACTGGAGCATATGTAAGTTTGTTTAATGAAATTATATACATTTTTTGACGTCTAAATTTTTATTTTAGACTGTCAGATCAACGCACGGTTTGCTGACGACTGTTGCTTATCAATTTGGCGCGAATTCAAAACCTGTATACGCCTTGGAGGGGTCTGTCGCCATAGCAGGTAACTGTTAAAGTTTATGAAGTCGTTTTTGAAATTTCCTAAAACAAAAAAAAAATTTATAAGTCATTTTATAAATCAAAACAACGTACAATAACAAAAAAGTTACGCATTCAGGTAGCTGAAAAAGTGACACAGGAAGTTTCGCCATTACGAGTATTTCCGAAGAAGAAAAATTTGATTTTTTTCCGAAATCCTGACACAAAGAAGATGATGGGTGTAATTCAGGGTATTTCAGAACATAAGCGGAAAGAAACAGGATTTTTTTCAAAAACGTTAAATTTTTTGCTAGCTGTATTTGAATGATTTCAAGATAAATTTCACATTGCCACTTTTTCTCCTCTTTTTATTCTAACAATGCCATCTTGACATAGAGAAAAAGCAGCAATATTTATTGAGAAATCCTACGTTAAATAAGGTGTGGCAAAAAACAATTTTATACCCAATATGTTTCTGACTTATTATTCTAGGTATTTCAATAAAGTGGCTTAAGGATAATTTGCAAATTATAAATGATGTCAAAGAGTCGTCCGAATTGGCTATGACTGCGGAGGAATCTGGGGAGGTGTACTTTGTACCTGCGTTTTCAGGCCTGTACGCTCCGTATTGGCGGAAGGATGCCAGAAGGTTAACACCTATTATATAATATATAATAAAATTTCTTAATAGGGAAACCTCTGTCAACAAAAAATGGTTATACAAGTATGTTTTATATTTTTCTTCAAACAGATATACAAGCCTATTCTTCTACTTGTAGATCTTTTAGTATCATTTTATGTTGCATTTTTAGCGTAATTTGCGGGTTGACTGAAGAAACGAGGCCCCAGCATTTAGTCAAAGCCGCCCTTGAAGCCGTATGCTTCCAAGTGCGAGACGTGCTGGTAGCGATGGCTTTGGACTGCGATTTCCCTCTCACAAAACTGCTTGTTGACGGTGGAATGACCGCCAACGATTACCTGATGCAAATGCAAGCCGACTACTGTGGAATTCCCGTCGGTAGGTCTTCTTTGAATATCATCAAAAACACCTTAAAGGGACATGGCGCCTAATTAGGAAAATTTCCACAACCCGTAAAAACCTATACGAGGTGTGACATTTTTTCACTAACGACGGTTTTGGCCGCTGAACTTCTACACGAGAGCGTAGGAAAAAATTGACGTGCAGTTCTCGTATTTATGTATTAAGGTCGACGGAAATTGCAAAAAAATTTTAAAACAAGAGAAGTGTGTTGCTATAACAATAAAATTCAATATTTTTAAGAACTGTTATAAAATTATTATTCTAAATACGAAAACATTGTAATAATTTACTTTATCAAGGTATCCATACGTTTTAAATTTTTTCAAGATTCCAGTGAGGAAAGTGGATTAAAAGATCTCGTCGATTAAAAGTTTCTATGTGATATAAAATGGCAGAGAGTTTACTTCAGTATATACGATGTATTCTTATTTGTTATAGTGAGGCCTACAATGGCGGAAACCACATGTTTAGGAGCAGCTATAGCGGCAGGAAGTGCGGAAGGTGTGGAAGTTTGGCATGTTGAAAAAATCGAACCGGTACCAAGCGATACCTTTGTGCCATCTATATCTGAAAACAGTAAGATTATCGTTTCGTATTTATCCTGAAATCGCTAAAAAATAAAAATGTGCTTGTATTGTAAAATTTACCGCCTATTTCGACGTATTTCTGTTTGCAGTGAGAGACGTGAAATACTCAAGATGGAAAATGGCGATAAAAAGAAGCCTTGGCTGGGCAACAGAAGATAGTAAACCTGACGATATTGGTGGGTATTCGAATATTATTATTGAATAATGATCACGGACATGTAAATGAAAATTCAATGTAACATTTGCGGATCTAGTAAGTTTTATCACTGCCATTTCTCCTCTAGTTTTCCACGACGAATATTATCTTCTGCTTACTACTTGCTTAATTTTGTGTCTAACCTATTTATTTCTGTTAGATTTACCTCGGTTGGTAGATGGTGAAGACGCGGTTAAAGGTATACACACCAAACACAATGACTAACCCGTAGAATACTAGTTGCTAATAATAATCACCTTAGCTGTGCTTATTCTACAAAAGAATTCATACATACACAATATTAACACTCATCGATATACTTATAACACCAACGACTCACTATCTCGGTACTGATGTGTCGCAGTAAGGACAAGACAGCTGTTGTAACGTTTGTCGTAAAAGTTTTGGATCAAAATATTTATCGGTTTTTTTTAATGAAATTTATTTAAAAACATTCAAAGCATCATCTCTCACGCTTCCCCAAAAAGGTTGGGATACACCCCTGTTAGAAATTTTGCACCAGAAAAGGATTTTATCTGCAAAGCGAAAACTTCAAATACACAAACTTTTGTTTCCAAAGGTAACTTGATATTATTTTACGTTTGTTAAAATTGAAGCTCATGAATTTTGTGGCAAAATTTTTAGGACATACGATATGCAACAAATAATAGAGTAGAAGGAGCCAAGCGTTTATGTTTAGACTGCAGTGTTTGTCTTCAAAATTGTGTAGTTTTAGAGCCGTCTCGGGGTGTAACACTTGTAATGTCACTGGGTATATAAGCAACTAATCTGCACCTATTTCAAATGCCTAATAATGAATCATTTGAATCGTTATAGATTTCATGTTATCTTTGTTTTTTTCCAATTTTTAGCTGAGTCTAGGTTTTTTTTTGGCAGGTGACAAGATTTTAAAATCCGTTCCAGGAGGCCTGTTTGTGCTTGGTTCGGTGCTCATGATGGTCGTTGCTGAAATGTGGCGAAAGCGCTGATAACAGTACTTTAGACTTGAGCCAGTGTTGGTTGCATAGTTCTGAAAAAAGTGTTTGTGATGTTCTATACTTTATTTATTTGAGTTTCGTCTGGTCGGTACTACGAATCTTGGCAGTATTTTAGAGACAGGAAATGTGGACTTTCTGCTTAGCTGAAACCTTCCACTGAAATTGTCATTATATTGTTTTCATTTGGAACGGGTTTTTTTCTATACATCAAGTGTTCTGTAATCGTTCTATTCTAGTTGATTTTTGTGCTTACATTTTGTTGATTTTTTATATTTTGTTGCATTTTTCTACATCTGTTTTGAAGCTTGTAAGCATATCGATAATAAATGATTGTTATTGAATATTTCTTGGTTTTATTTTTATTAACAAGTGTTCTTAACCTGCAAACCACAAATACGCTTTGGGTAATATTTTCAAGAGAAATCTAAAAGTACAATTACAGAAGTTTCAATTGCTCACTATGGAATCTTTTGCAGACTTGAGTATTTTGATAAGCCAGTTTCGGCTTTCTTAAAAAAGTCTGTTTTTAAATGATTGAGGCTTGAAAATGTCAATGTCAATACATTTTTGCAATAAATTAAATACTCTATTGACCTGTGTATAAATCCAATTTGTTGATACATATCTCTAGTAACACAAAAAAATGAAATAAAAAGTCTGAGAACTCAAAAATTTATATATTGTCGTCTATCTCTCGTATTTTTTTAAATGGCGTCTTGAAATCGTATTTATAATTTAGAAAGAAGCTCCACAGACTGTATCTCCCTGATTTTCGTCAAAACGTTTGGGCTGTCTGGTCAGAGTAATTGCGTTACCACAATAGATAATTATAATTCTCTTGCTTATTATCTTAAATCATGCAATGCACATAAATTTAATGAACTAGTTTCGGATTACTTTATGGCCAATTAAGTTATTACAATTTCAGTTGTGTTTTTTTTGTTGGTTTTAGGCTAGGCTATTTTTTATATGTATTCTACTACTGGCAAGGGTTGAGTCGAAAAACGCCTGTAGGTGAACTCCCCCTTGAGCTTTTCTCAATAACAAAACATTTAAGGTGTACTTTTATTTTACAATCCTGGCAATACACTTAGATAAATTCCTTACACTCAACTTCTGCTAATTTTAAACTTCAACAATCTCAATTTTTTGTTTTAGCGTCAGAATGTTGCGATTTCCTACAATGAACGTGTCGCCCTCTATTACGAATCGTTTGCCCTTCGTACAAAACTACATACATCCCCGTACACGCCATCCGGCCTTCAATTTCGAACAACAAACATTCATTTCCAACCTATCCTTTCGCTGTTTCGGCCAGCATTGTTTTTCGCATTGTCCGGAATCAAAAATTCATTACTGGTGCGGAGATTACCCTTGGTTCAGTGCCGGATGCGACACCCTTTTCACACCGCCCGTTGTTGCCCCTCCTCTCATCCCTGACGCGCCGTTCTCGACAAACGCTTCATTTTTAATTGTTTCGCGATTGATTTTCGGAAAAATATTCTCCGGCAAGGAAGACTGTTACTGCAGTTACGGTGATTCTGTCAATTAAGCATTGTTTGCGTAAAGACGGCTACGTTCCGTCTACGTAGATTGAGTTCCAGCCATCAAACATCTGTTTCGATTATACTCTGCGGCAAATCATAAACAACCAATAAAAGTGATTTTATTTGAATGGAAACAGACAATAACTCAGCAAGGCATTCTTGTTGCGATAATTGTCTCTGAAAGTTGTAATAAATTATGGTGCGAAAATGTTCTCGATTGAGTTCCATTTTCCTAATGACACTTAAAAAGTGGCCTACAATGTTTCTATGTGTCTATGTCTATGTATCTGTCCTCCGAGGGCAATTTTTAAATGAGGCAACACAAAAGAAGTCGCTTGGGGCTAGATCTGGTGAGTAAAAGAGCCGTTTTACACACAAGAGAATTACTCCGAAAATTATGGTCATAATTATGCTGAAAATTTGCATGGAAAAAATATTGAAGATTTTCTCTACAACCTGTATGACAAGCAAACAAAATTTCGGAGTAATTCATATGATACGCCTGCGCATTAGAGTTATATTTTCAAATGGACATAACCTTAACGGGTATGACGTCCAATATAATCGGACAGACAACAGACGTCGATAATTTAAATTTATTTTTGAAATCGAGATCTTGGTTAATATTATAAAACTTCTCAATGCTTGGACTATCGCATCCAGCGCCTGACGCCGCAAATTTCTGTTTTTGTAATTGGGTGACTTCACCTTGTACAGGTTTGGCTATTTTTGGTACTCCTCCAACAACATTGTAAATTCTTCCCGATTCCACGACATTATGAATAAACAATAACAATAAACGCTCCTTCGTACGACTCGAACAGGACCACTCCCACAAATGTTAAGTGAGGTTATGTTGTTGTTGTTGTCGTTGACATTTGATATTGACATACACGGAAATAACCCTCTGCGCCGATTGTCGCGCATATAATATAGAACGGTTTTATATTTTTACCATGAACATTTTCACAAGAATTCTTTTACGTGTAATACGACAGCCAAAATTTTCGGCATAATTATGACCATAATTTTCGGAGTAATTCTCTTGTGTGTAAAACGGCTCTAAGGCGAATGGTCAAGCAGTTCACACCGTAATTCGTGGATTTTCGCCATAGCAACCGCTGAGGTGTAAGACGGTGGTAAAAGAGGATTCCTTTTTTCTGTTTCTTTGCAAATGTGGCCATGTTTCTGAAACCTCTCCCTTTAGCTTGTCAAGTAATGATTCCTGGGGAAAACCCGATTGCCAATTTACTTCTTTTTCCCACGCCAGACAAGTTGGAAAATCATATGTAGGCAAGAACTTTTCCCGCATACGCTACGCCCTACGGCTTAAAAAATACTGACACAAATGACAAATGACATTGACAGATGCCCGAGCTAGAGATGTCGCACTGGTAAGTATAGAGATGTGCTCGTAATTGTGAAAAATTTACCCACGTCATAAGGAAGGGGCTTAAAGATGTTTGCTTTATGTTCTTAAAAACGTCGAACTAAGAACATCTCAATGTCTGAGGCGTTCGGATATTATTAGTGCATGATGAACTTCTTTAACACCCGGTACGTTGTAAATACACACATGTTATTGTTATTTAAAGGTTTATTACAAAGCGATGAAGTGGTCAAAATAAATCCAGCCCTACATTTATTTGACTTCATGTGAAATTTATCGAATTCCGGAAAAAAGTTTCCTATCCATTGTATTTGTTTCAGAGTGTAAACATCACGAATTGAGATTGAAACCCGGAATTCACGTGTACACGGATGTAATATGAACATATATCTGTTCAAAAAAAAATACCTCTGACGTATGGTTTAATCATATTAACGTTAAAACTGCATGAAAAAAGTCACATTGGCCAGCGGGTAGCAAATAAAAAATGTTTATCCCAACGTGCTGTTTACTTTTTCTGGCGCATTACTATTCATTAATACAATATATACCCTGCATTGAAAGCAGGATGTATATAAGATGCATCTTTAATCATACCTAAATGCCTCTCCATCTCTTGGTAAATGAGGAAATTCGAAAACTCCATCTTGTATACATACATCCGCGCCAAAGCCGGGGCAGATTATATCGCCGACAACTACGATTATGTGGTGAGTCATAAACAGCGGAGGCTTCCCTATTTTCACCCTTAATTAATAACCCAATAAAAGGCATGTAAGCCTTATTTCACCAGTCCTCTCATCGTGTGTCCCTGTCGGAACGTTTACCTACCACTGGCGTACCGAGACATCTTTCAGTAAGGGAAAATCTCTTTTTAAGCCCAAACCTGATACGACTATCATTCGCCTAAGGTGTAGAGTTACAAAAAAAATCACATCCTTATCATAGTTGTCAATTTTAGTCTCTATATGCCAATGGATTTTCAGATACTAATTTTTAATTCTTATGCGTCAAAAATCGTAGTCGTACACTTCAAAAAGCAGCAAGAGGTTTCTACCGCAATGCCATAGGGTATGTCGATTGTGGAACAATCTACTTGAAGAGGCTCTTCCCAATGATATACTAACCTTAGGTAGTTCAAAAACCGGATAAAAAAGCTTCTTTGGGATCCTCATAGCAGGCTGCTTTGAAAAATTTCTTCAAACATCCTTTAACAAAATCTCAAAAAGTTTTTTTGTTTTCGGGGGTTTTGTTACTGTAAATTATTGAGGTCGCCCCTGTTTAACATTTTAAAAGAGTTCCTAAAAAACATGTAACACGAGGTGCACGAACGCTCCACCACAGCATGGAAGGTACCTGAGCTACTATTTACACTTGGCAATAACTATGATTCAATCAAAGAATGCAGAACAAGGAGAGGTTAAAGTTAATATCAAAAGGGGATTTCTCCATTTCTACCAATCTTGGCCAATTTGGAAATGAGATCGACAAGGTAAATTTAAGCTCCGTATAACATCAGCAGCTTATAAAACGTCCAACTGAAAATTTCAACAATACGGACTCGTCGAATAACAAAGCGAAGGTAGACAGACAACGAGGACAAAGTCACCTAAAGCATAATTCTGAATAAAGGTTTCCAAATCATTCCGCATTCAAAATGAAATTACTGAGATATTAATGAACTCTGCGGTTGAGTTTCTGTTTCCATTATGGAAACCGTCAGTGTCAGTGCCGCTATTAATGGCATTACATTCCGTGATAGTCATAAAAAAAGTGCCCGGCAAAGGAAGGCTAATTTAATTACATTCAATCTTCTTTGGATTTGCTTTGATTTCCCCGTAGGCGGTTACGTAACGAGCGCCCTCTGTCGCCAAGGGAGAAAGGCTTGAGTTCTTCGCGGTGCGTCTCCACGAAATAAAGCAGAGGCGTGCAGAAAAGCCAGAAGCGCCGGTATCTTCTAAACCAGAGTTCCCCAAACTTTTTTGTGTCGTAGACCCCTTACCATGTTTTTTCCGTGTTGGGTAGACCCCCTACTTACCTGATATTGATTTCCTGTAAATTTCTAGCTGTAGTGAAGTTTAGTGTTAAAAACTTAAAGTAAAAACACATGTTAATTTATACATTTATTAATTGAATTTAAATTATAAATAAGTGCCCGCATTGAAAAAAAAAAATAAGAGGGATAAAATAAAAAAAAGTGGCATCTTCTCAGATGATCTTGCAGTTTAGATCGTCTCATAGCGTCATTGCCCAAAACTTTGTTGCATAAAAGGCACATAGGCGATTGTTTGTCCGGCAATGCTGGAATGAAGTCAAATTTCAAATAATCGACACTGTACTGTCTACATTTCTTTTTAGATTCGGACATGCATCAGTCATCTGTGGGCAAAATTAAATTATTTAAAT